AAGTGCTGATATTTTCAGTTCAGTGCAGAGCAGACTCTATGAAGGAACTTTGACTCTCATGAAAAATGGAACCTGTGGACAAGTGAGTTGAGGAAAAGATACTTTTTCTGCTGGGCCCTGATTAGTACATTGATTGTCAGAAGTTCATCCATCCTAATATAGTTCTTGGCCGTGTGTATGAGGTCAAAGATGTTGATGAGGCAGTTAAAGATGACTTGGACACCAAGTTTGAGGTAGCAAAGTCAAAAAAGTTGTTTCATAGAATCATAGAATCACAGAATGCTTAAGGTTGGAAGGGACCTCAGAGGTCATCTAGTCCAACCCCCTGCACACGCAGGTTCACCTAGAGCACGGGGCACAGGGCTGCGTCCAAGCGGGTTTTAAAGATCTCCAGAGAAGGAGACTCCACAACCTCCCTGGGCAGCCTGTTCCAGGGCTCTGTCACCCTCACTGTCAAGAAATGTTTCCTTAAGTTCCTGTGGAACTTTTGGTGCTTCAGCTTGAGGCCATTTCCTCTAGTTCTGTCTGTGGCCACCACTGAAAAGAGGCCGCCCCCTCTTCCTCACTGCCTCCCTTGAGGTATTTATACACGCTGATCAGGTCCCCCCTCAGCCTCCTCTTCTCCAGGCTGAACAGGCCCAGCTCTCTCAGCCTTTGCTCACAGGACAGATGTTCCAGGCCCCTGATCATCCTCGCAGCCCTGCGCTGGACTCTCTCCAGCAGCTCTACATCCCTCTCGTCCTGGGGAGCCCAGAACTGGACACAGTCTCCAGATGTGGCCTCACCAGGGCTGAGTAGAGGGGGATGATCACCTCCCTTGACCTGCTGGAGACGCTCTTCTTAATGCACCCCAGGATCCCGTTGGCCTTCTTGGCCACCAGGGCACACTGCTGCCTTATGGTCGTCTTGTCATCCACCACGACGCCGAGGTCCCTCTCTGCAGGGCTGCTCTCCAGCAGGTCCACGCCTAATCTGTACTGGTGTCCAGGGTTATTCCTCCCCAAGTGCAGGACCTTGCACTTGCCCTTGTTGAACCTCATGAGGTTTCTCACCGCCCAGTCCTCCAGTCTGTCCAGGTCCCTCTGGATGGCAGCACAGCCCTCAGGGCTATCAGCTACTCCAACCAGTTTGGTATTGTCGGCAAACTTGCTGAGGGAGCACTCCAGCCCTTCATCCAGGTCGTTAATGAATAAGTTGAACAGGAAAACATCCTCATTTGGAGATGAGGATGCCTGCAGTTATGTGTGCATGCATGCACACCTGTGCCCTTTCTCCCAATATGCCTCACCTCCACTTTCTTAATCAGGCTGAAAATTACATTCTCCTATACCATCTTCTAGGCAATTGGGAGAGACACACTGGAAATCAAAAAAAAAAAAAAAAAAAAAAAAAAAAAAAAAAAAAAAAAAAAAACCACCCCCAAACTTGCTGTTTCAAGTCAAAAGATTACTTGATAAATCTTTGCACTTCTTGCACAAGAACTTTGGAATAGTCAGTTCAGATAGATGTTATATTATTGAGAACTGCTTCTGAAACATTAGAGTTAAACTCTAAGTACAAATGTGCCCTGCCAGCAGGAGTGACATTCTGGCTGCATAAAGCAAAATCGGATAACTGATACTCAGTTTTGGGGGAGAGGTCTGCTACAATATTAGCACTTTCTTCAAGAATGGTTCTTGAAGAGGCAAAAATGTAAAATAATAATAAAAAAGATTTGTGAGGGGTCTTCTGATTATTAAAAAGTGAAATGGAATTAAACAGTCACTTAACTCAAAATCTTTCTCTTGAAATTGGCAAAGTTAATGTCTCATTGCTTCTTTTCATTGAATGTGGTTGACAAATCTGGTATGATGCTGCAGTAGAGTGTTGTTTCATCTGAAAAAATGTGGACTGTTTCAAACTAAGTTTGATCTGGTGTTGTACAGTCAAAGTCTTACACTTCAGTTTACCCTGATAACAAAGAATCCTTTTAGATGAGATATAGTGTATTCAATGATATCTGCCTGCATTTTGCATCATTCCTAAAGCATCCATGATAAAAAAAAAAATTTCTTCAGCAAGGATTTGATAACCCTTTCCATCTGGTCATGAACTTTTCCTAAATGATAGTGATTTTTTTTTCCTTCTGTTTATGCATCAGCTTAATTAAAATCTAAAATATTTTAATGGAGAATTGATTCTTTTGAAATGAAAATCACACTATGGATTCCTCTTAATTTAAACTAGATGTCTTTCGGTTTATCTTGCACCTACAGTTGATCTAATAAGAAATCTAGCAGTGTGATTTCTAGAAATAACCATATCAGTAGCTGAAATGAACCTACCATTTCTATGTCAAAACACCCTTTATTCAGACCAGTGCAGCAATCATCAGTCATGCCCTATCTATTAGCTCGTCTTTAAAGGGCATCAAAGCTTTAAAATAGATGAATGTTATGAACCAAAAGTTTTCTGTTAAATAAAGGTTATTTGACTGAAACTCTGACTTCATTCATTCATTCTTCATTGCCTTCTATTGCAGATATTCTTCGCAACAACCTTGCTCTGATGCTGGTGTTGGTGATTGGCCTTACACACAGTCATGAATTAGTAAATATTCTTACTTGGCTGCACCTGATCTTTATGTCAGGATCAGGTCCAGCTGCAAAAAATATTCTGCCTTGACAGGGAAGGCTAAATTTGTCTCTGCCATATTCTTGACAAACATTACTGTTTCTCTGGAGTTACACCAGGAAGAATAAAGAGCCTCACTGGCTCCAGTTAAAATGACATTTTTTTTTTTTTTTCCTACAAGCAATCCTCAGTTTACTATCAGATTTCTCCTGCAATTCTGGGATTAGGTAGCTCCTTCGCTGTGATATGTTGGCACAGTAAGGATCTCCTGCACTGGGGCAGCACAGATGATGGAGTTCATGCTCTGTGTTAAGCTAAAGTATGCACAATTGATTCACGTAGCCTGTTGATTAATAGTAGATGTAGGAAGTAATCATTAAGACTTTCTTAAGATCTTGTGGATGCCGTTAACCATTTCAAGTCTCTACGAAATTCTAGCAGCTATCCAGAATCCAGAGAGAAGTTAGCTCTGTGAAATGCTCTGTACAAACAGAACTCTGCACATAGTTTTGCTGGGTCTGGCCTAAATGCAAGGTCAGTATCCCCTAAAAACTGCATCTATTTCTAGTTCCCTCCCCTTTCCCCTTCTGTGTGATCACATCTCCCATTCTCTCCCGTGTCACTGCAATTTTAAGCAAAGAAACAGCCAGTGCACAGTTACTGCCAGGTCTAGCTCAAGAGTGGAAGAGCTGGCTGCAACTATCTTAGCTGCAAGCATAAACGTGCACAATCCCTGCCTGTGTGAAAGCGAGAGTCTGCCAGCAGCTGAGGTAGATGGCTTCTGCCACAAGGGCCCGTACACTTTATTGTCCTCCTTGAACCTTGTGACTCACAGTGGAAACATGCTCTACATACACGATCCTTTCAAATGTGGAAATTAAAGGAATTTTGTATTTCACAAGAGTGCTCAGTGTTTTATGAGAACAAACGGTGAATAGTGTAGTGAATTGTTAGGCATACTGTTTAAGTGTATAAATTGGCTTGGCCTCCTTAACTTCTTTTAATAATGGAATCTTGAACTTTCCAAGAAAAGGAAAAGAAAAAAGATATGATTTCACTGATCTTGGGAAACATACTTTTATATTTGACTGGAAAATTTTCTGGATTTCACATTATTATTTCCTAAAATAATTAAACCATTTTTTATATAATAAATGTGATCTGTTGTGTTTTATTTTTCTTTCTTTGAAAACTACCTAGAACTTTAATATTCTATTTGATGGTAAATGAATATTGATTTGCATAGTTACTGCCTATTAGTATACGTAAATACCTTGCTTAATGTATACACTAGGAAAAATATAAACAAGAGACTTAAAATATAACAGTGACACCATTTATGAAGAATATTAGCATTTACTGATCATTCCTGTCACTACTGTTGTTAGTTTATATTAACAACTCTTTCGTTATATGAACTCCTGAAGGGTAAATTCACAAGAAGGAAGGTTGCTTTACATATAACTTAATGTGATAGCAATGTCTAAAAACCTATTTTAAAGAAACCATGACAAGCCTCTTTCGTTTAGCAGTGTCTGTCGCAACAGGAAATGACTTCCCCTAGTATGCACTGGAATAAATAAAGGTCAGACAGTTCTTTTATCTGCATTTACTTTGCATAGTTATGCCAGTAAAACAGGATGTTTGCTATTAACATTGCTTCAGGTTTTCTGATGACAATAGCACCAAGATAAGGACCAGATTTTGTCTAGGTGAAATTCACTCCTCCCGTATAAAGCCCTTTGTGAAGAATCTACAAAGAAAATGTGGAAATAAGAAGCCAAGCCACTAAAGTCATGCACTTAGACTGCAATCTGTGCGAGCTCCTGGCAGCTGGACACTCAGCTTCCACTGAGACGCAGAGGAAGTGAGCACCTATGATGTTAAAGCTCTTTTGAAAATTCCAGCTTTGTCAGATTTAACAGCCTACCGCTATTCACCCAGCGATAATATGTGTACCTTCATATATGTGAATAGTGCCTTAGGTATTTAAAATCTAGGCAAGCAAAAAGAGGGGAGACAATAATGTAAAATTCATCCTTCAGAATGGGGGGAAGAGCATGCAGCTTCTCAACTGCAAAGCAGCAAGAGCCTTGCTGAGCTCTACTGTTCAGAAGACAGGCTGGGGGTTTTTCCTCCCAAACCACCCTTTGCCAGCACCCTTAAGTGATCTTTAGCTCAGCCAGAAAGACTGTGAGTTAATCATTGGCAAATCTGTTACCCCCGTGGTGTTCATGTGGAAGGAAGAGCTTTATGTCAGCCTCACACACACACTAGATGTTCCACCCAGCTGGAATACTGTTTGTGTTGAGGTATGTTTTCTTTGGTTATATTTTCCTGAAATTTGCAATTACAAAAAAATAGAATATTTACATCATTACAAATTAAATTTCAGTGTCAGCATTTTTTTTTTTCTTTTTTGTCATAAAATGGAATACTTATGTGCAACAGGTAAACTATTTTCCTTGAGCATCAGATATGAAACTGTTTTCAATGCAGAGAACGATAAACTGATTACTACAGCTATATGCTTTCTGATCAAGAAGTTTCCCTGTCTTCAGTGGTGATGCTTGTCCCATAACTGCTATATCAGCTGTATGCCAGGCTTCACAGTAGTTGCTAACCAGTCGGATCCCGTTTGCAGTTGAACCATGCCATATTACTTTCTGAGGCCTGAAAGATAAAGTTAAGAGGTTATTTCCTGAAAACAAGTCTCTTTCTCTCTTTTTTTTATTTTTTTTAACTGTATGCCTACATGCGTGGTGACTTTGCTCAGCTCATATCACATAAAAATCCTCTCCTCTTCTTCTGCTTGAAGAGCCAAGAAAGGAGAACACTACCCGATATCTCAGTTATAGGCTAGCAGAAATGGAGAAGGAAGCATAAGAGAAAGGAGAAGTCATTTATACTATAAAAATACTAAAATACTATAAAATTGCTAAAAATTAATGCCATGTAAAACCTGCAGATGATAATATAAACTCACCAAGATGGATCTGTCATGACATTTCTTCCATCAAATGAGTATATTGGTACATGAGGGTTGAATTGTCCACCATTCCCATTAAATATTGATTCCCAGTTACTGAAAAGTGTTTCTCCCTGTTGAAATTTCAGAGTCACTTCATAAACAAAGTGAAATCCATGTCATACCTGGATTTTATAGAGTTCCACAAATCTAAAATCTTATCTGCACTTAAAAACACTTTAGATCCCAGTTTCTACATCACAGTCTCTATGAAGTGCTCCTGAACAAACTCATCTATCATATCTGTGCTAATAGCTTTTAAATATACATCTTTGCCTCTGGCCTTTCTATTCAGTTATGTCTCTGCTTCATTGACTTCAACTTAGATCTTCAACTTCATTCACTATTTTCAACATTTCCACTACCATTCTCCTCCTAACTGTTCACTTTGTTACTTGAAGATTTGCTTATACCTACTCTAGCTAAAGAGAAAATCTAAAAGTAATTTGTAATAGAAATACAAATCGTGATGAGGTCATAATCTTATGGCAAGCGCTGCAAATATCAAAAGCTTTGTGCCAGGGAACCTCTCAAATCACTATGGAGCTTTTCCTCCAAAAAAGTTGGAACAACTTTGTCTTTACTGATTTTCCTCCAAGCATCAGTCCATGCCTGCACTTCAGAGCAGAATCCATTGAGTGAGCTCCCAGAGTCATGCGTTGTTCATGGAGTATTCTTTGGCTGTTTGTGCTGGGAGCCAGCCAATACTACCAAGACCTGGGTTGTTTTCCTCAGTTTTAGTGTGTTTATGTGAAACCACAAGATGACTCATGTTCTAGAGTCTTGCAAAAACTCTCAGTTTCACTGGGGCAAATGCAGTATCACGACTAATAAGAACAGAATTTGCCATTATCTTTAAAAATGAAGAAAAAATAGGCATTTTAGTGTACCAAATTTTGTGGTCATATTAGAAAGCAGACAATAATATCCATCTTTGAAAAATGAAGATGCGGTGTCCTTGTTAATATAAAAATTTCCAGAAGGCTGAACATTACTGCTGTTACTATGTCAGCAGTCTGCTTTAAGTAGGCCATTCATACAGCTTTATTTCTACCATTAGTCTTAAAGAATTGAAAAAGGCCATTCTAGGCAATACAAATAAAATGTGCGACAGTCTGCATCTTTCTATTTCAGCATTACATTTCTATCTGGACTCTGACTTGAAAATATAAATATATATATTTCAATATATTTAAATATAAATATTTCAATATAAATATATTTAGATTGAAAATATAAAGCAAGACTTCTCAGTAAAGTGCAGTTTGGACTAAAATTTCAGTTTTGCTGTTTTCCAAGAATTCAGGGCATCTGCAGTATATCTGAATATAACAAGTAATAAGCACTCATTTTTACCTTAAGATTGACTATTGGTAAATTGTATCTGTCTGTTTTTCTTACAACTGTGGCTAGATCTTGCAAATGTGATGACAGGAAGGCTCTATAGGTAGATGTCAAGCCTGCCAGCTGTGCCTGTTGAAAGCACTGAAAATCTGCTCGCATGTCACCAGCTAACGGCAAATTTAAAGCCACCAGATGCAGCTGAAAAAAGAGAAAAGAATCACTTTTTTAAAAAATGTAAAAAAATTATAAAGATCCCTAAGTACAATAACTAGTACATTCCATACAAGGTATAAAAGTGCCATAAGCTCACATTTCTGAAAGTTATCCAGCTGATAGCAGAGATACATATCTATCTCTAAACTGCCATAAAACCATGAAAATTATATATTGCTAAAAAAACAAAACTTCCATTTAATAAAGCTAAATCCAAATCCTATAAGCATGGAAATACAAAGGAAGATGAGACCACATACCATTTAAACATTTTCTGTTAACAAGTAGCAGAGGTAGCATGGCTAATTCAAACAATATAAATGCAGGAACTAATCAATAGTTTTTTTTTTTAAGATGCAATTTGGTTATTTTGCTTTATTTATCTAAAATATATATAAGCATTTTAAATAAAAGTTTAGATTCTAAAGTGTCTATTTAAAAAAAATCAGCATCATGGGGACAGAAAAGATTCTAATATTATATTAAGAATAACAATAATACAACAAAAATGACTAAGAGAGTAAGTACTCTAACATACAAATCAGGATTTGGGCAAGAAGAAAAGGATTAAGATGACCACAATAATTTGGAGGAAAGCATTTACAATTCCATTCAAGATGTCTAAACCAGTGTATTTGAAAACTATCAAAGTAAATTCTGTGACTTTGAAGAGGAGATATTGTAAAACTCTCTCAAAATGCAAAAATACAACGTTTCAAAACATAGCTATTTAGCTGGGACACAGTTCTCATACTTACTGCTGGTTTTCCATTATTCACATTTGAAATTGGACTCAATGCCGGAAGAGACTGAAATCCCTGTTATTTTAACACACACAAACAGATTAATTAAATCCTTTATTCAAATTAGGATTTTACACATTCAACAGTTTTCTAAATAAAACAAACATCGAATATTAGAGAAACTGAAACTGTTCTGCCTCTGAAAAACAAATTGAAACTGCCACATGCTTCTTCTACCTACCATTGATTTAGAAAGCCACTTTAATCTATGTTTGAATACTGTCCTGAACCAAGTAGCTCTACTAAACCTGAGCCTAAGCATTGCATAGCCAGTGTTCAAGTGTGTCAGGAGGCCTGCACGGAATTTTCTGGTCAAATACAGAAAACTGGTTCAGAAAAATTAAAACTGAAAGCATAAAGAGGATGTAGAAACAGAAAATGTGGCGGGTGGGAAGATTTCTGAAGGCCTCAGTAGTTCTTCCTCTTATGTAACGTGGTTGCAGAAACCAGAGGGTTGATGAGCTTGATAGCTGCTTCAAGAACAGCAAAGTTTTCTCATGTAGATAAGGGAAGTATGAGTAATACAGCAGTGACTGTACCAGTCTGGAAACTCACATGATGTCAGCTGGAGGCTGCAGACAATTTCCTGCAACCTGAGGTCTAGACATCTTCCCAGTGTGATAAGTGCCAATCTCTCTGACTTCCTCCGATGTTTTTCTATTTCATGGTCACCAGGATTTGTCTGGTCATTTCCCTTCACTCCTGCCTAGCACCTCGCTCGCCTTTCAGCACCTCAGCACTACACAGTCAGATCAATTCACCTGCCACAAAGACTGTGCTCTAGTCTCTTCTCCAGCTTTTGTTTCTCATCCTCCTGGCATTTTGGGGGACAGGCAGCATACAGGTTTTGTACAATAACCCGCAGAATGGAGGTAGGTATAGACCAAAAAATGAGATTGTACTATAGACCCCAACACACTGTAGGATAAGCTACATACAGACAATTATGTACCCTCATTGCAGAAATACAGGACTATAATCTTTTAAAGAAAGTCTGTTTTTCAGAAGCTCTTCACTGAGCTTCCCTGAAAAGGACTAGGGCTTGATATGACTGCCTTCAGTGTCACAAAGCAGAATTATTTTCATTTCATTTCATTTCATTTCATTTCATTTCATTTCATTTCATTTCATAGATTCTGCTTTGTGTCTGTAGTATTCAGCATCTCAGAAGATGATGGCTATAGACTGCTGGCTGGCCAACATGAACCAATTTGAAAGCTTATATAGTGGTAGGATACTTATGCTGAATTGATAAGCCTCAACAGAAATCATGTTGTACATAAACCTTCCTGCAAGTTCTGTCAATGTTTCTCCAGTTTTTGCACACCAAGGATAAGATTTTCACAGTATTTTGTACCTACATGGCTTGATAAGGCTGGAGGTGGAAGGCTGTCAGCAGGGATAGGAATTAACTCACCAAGCTGAAAAAAACACAAAATGAAATGAAAGCAAAACCATATTAATAGCAGCTTCTGAACTAAAAAGAATATATATATATATATACACACACATATATCTTTGCACTCATATTTCTCCACCCCTTTAGGAGGATCTGCAACAACCTCCATTTTGAATAAGGGAACTGAAAAACACTGGGAAACAGTGCAATAGTACCTGCAATTTTCTCCATCCATTTCGAACACGGATGAAAACCTCACTGGTTTCACTCAGATAGATTAGTGTACCTTCTGCTACAAAATGAACTTTTTCCAACATACCCTCTACATTGCGGAACGTTGTAACCTGTCAAAGTGACAAAACAAAAGCAAAATCCTGCGTTACAGCACCAAATACAGAGAACATTTTGCATGATAAATTTAAGTCTTACTTGAGTAAGTTTAGAAACATCAAAGGTGCTTGTGCAGGAAATGCTCATAAAGACGTTTTAACCTTATTTCATAGAGAAAGCTTTTAGAACATAAAGATCTTGCTAGTCTGGCATAACAGCATTATAATTCTGTTGAATTTACTGTAGCTTTACCAACGGTTGGTTTTGAACAGTTGATTTTGAAGAAGATTGCATCTCTAAGGTTTAGTATACTAGGTCAAAACGGAAGAGTTCAGAAGAGACTTGATAAGGCTGGGCATAGACTATAACATCAGATCCAATTCTAGGTACATTTGTGTTTGTCATATTTTTCTTGCTGTTGCTGAAATCCTGTTAATTAGATTAATTCAGATATTTACTCCATTGATTTTCATGGCATCTAACCACAAATCAGGCCTACAAATCAGGCTACAAATGAAAAACAGCACCAATAACATACTGAATTCAGATGAGGCAGTACCTTTTAGGCAAGCTGAAAACTTGTGGCAGGATTAGTTCAGATGGTGTTTTAGAACAGAATCTCTTTAAATTCAAGAGATTAAAGTAAAATGTTTAATATTCAGAAATGTCACCTGTTGAATAAAGACTAAATACGTGTTATGAGATCATTTGGATTCAGTGAGCTGCCCATTTTATTTGCCCCGTACCTACATAAATGTAAAAGCTGTCTTTAGCAGAGAGTCTTCTCATTAGAAAAGTTTAGCAGAGAGTCTTCTCATAGCAGAGAGAGCCTGGCAGTGTTTAAGAAATGTGTAGATGATGCACTTAGGGACATAGCTTAGCCAGCACAGTGGTGATGGGTTTATGGTTGGACCTGATGATCTTGAAGGTTTCTTTCCAACTATAATGATTCTATGATTCTATTTTAAAATTCCATGGAAGACCAAAGATATATTTGTTGTTGGAAGAAATGGAATTGGTGGAAAAGATAATTTTGGTCTTTTCTTTAAGGGTGCTTTACTCCGTGCCTATTATGTTTCCATGTGTTTCTAGCTTACACAGCAGGTACTTTTCAATTTCTCTTTTATAGATTTCATAGTCAGTAAGCTGAAACTGTCTGTCAGATGTGACTACTGTATCTATCACCTCTGTTTTCATCTTCTGACGTTGAGAACACAGGTCTCTAGAAGGAGTTACTTCTAAAGTCTAAAATTGAAGGTAGCACAAAATCGGTGACAAATTTCTTGAGAGCGTCATTTCTTGACAATTGAATTTCTTCTCTTTTTTTTTCTTTTTTTTTTTTTTTTTTTGTGCATGTCAGAAGAGTCTATTGATGCTTTATAATCCATAAAGACCCTGTTTTCAATTTACAGATTGATTTTAAAATGTTTGTTTTGACCTAAATAAGTGGACTGGGAAGCCCTACCTAAGAAAGCATCTCCCAGACTGTAACTGTATTCCTCTACCTTGGGGCATCAGTCTTTGTTCAGCAGTTTCTCCCTTAGTTTGTAACATTAGTCTGAATGTTTCTCCCTTAGTCTGAATTTCTGTGTGTAAAGGTAGTTAGCAGAGATACAGCACTAGGGTGGGAAGGCATGAAAAATAACTTAGGCTTGCATTCATGACAGCCTGTTTTACATAATGATCTGAAAGTCTGCTTATTTATTAATGCATTCTAAAATGATGGCTGAGGTATATAGAGAATTTGTTCTTCTATCAAAGCATGAGAACATATATTTTAAAATGGAAATGAAAGGCTACTGTAAGCTTGTTATCCTTTTTCCCTTTTCATAAATAAAGAATATCTTATTTAGAAATTAACAGGACAGAAGTCTTGGGTATCTTTTCTACAGAATCAACATCTTGAGTACAATGCAGACTTAAGTGACCCAGTAATAAAACGAAACAATTTCAATTATGTGTACCTTCTGGCACAGCAATTTAAGGCTTTATGGATTTTTTGACTTAGGAAAAGCTACATTTTTTTTTTTCTTAAAAACAAATTATCTGACCTATTCGGTTTTCATCTTGTCATGTAAAATGTTTCTTCCATGGTTCGGAGTATTCAGAATAATGGTTCTAGTATCTCATCATATTAATTTGCCACACTCTTTCTGAGCCATTGCTTTGAACATGCAGTATGCACATCTTTCCATTGCTTTAACATCCCATCAGTCTTACTTCACAGTTGTTGACAAGGCTGTGACTACCAAAACAATAGGCGGACTTCTTCATTCACTCTTCCCAGCATATGATTTTCCTTCTGAGAAAATTATGATGTTAAGAAAAACAGAAAATATTCTAATAAATGCAAATTCTAGAACTCAACTTTTCCTCCTCAAGCAGTGCTATCACCAGCCACTATGACCTTTGGAGCAGTTTTCAAAGGCAAATTTCCACAGTTCATCAGTTCAGTAGCTTACCAGATTCCTGGTCGCAGGCAGCCCTGGCTCTCCTGGAGGACCTGGTGGCCCAGGAATTGCAGGTGCTAAAACAAAACAAATGTACAGTACAAGTTGTAAGTGTTTTTGAGAGAAAGGGAACCTAAATAAAATATTTGGGGTTGGTGTCTAGGAATAGGCTAAGCTTGTAATGACTGTGGTCCTTACAGAGTCAAGTTATGATCAGCTTTGTCCAAAAGAACTACATTTTTTTCTTTTAAAGCAGTAGTGAATCTTATTCTTTTACCTGCTACATAGGAGCTTGCAAGCTGTTAGGGTCATTTAAACTGCACTATTTATTTTCCCCCATATTACAGGATGTGAGCTCCACTTTACAGTAAGCGAGAGCTTTAACTAGGTACCTTGAAGACAGGAAATAATTAACAAAATTAACTTCAGAGTTCATTACATTTATTACAATGGATATCTGTCAGTGTGCTGCTTAAAGAAACGTCTTATAAAGCTTGTAAAGAAGAAAATGTGTAGGTAGAAGATGAAGGCTAATGGCAGCGTGGATGAGCAAAAGTATAATGGTAGGATAATACTAATTTCTTCTGTCTGATTGGGACTTCTTTAGCTTGATATTCAGAAGTGCTTGTTATATATAACAAAAGAAAATTCCTGAAGTGTTGCTCCCAAAACCAGCACATGGGAAGAACAGGTAAGTGGAAAAGCATATTTATCATTAGTTCAACTGAATTAACAAGGCCAACTCAAACTTTAGCAAGACAGGGCTGCACTATAATCTCTTTATACTGGTAAAGCACCCTTGCTGACGGTAGGCTATCTTCCTTCACCTTCCTTCAGATCAAGGAATGCTTTGGTCTGGAAGGCTAGTTTTGGCTCAGTGGATTCCCTTTCTGGTCTCAGGTCCCAGAGGGAAGAAACAGAGTCTCTCACTCAGCTAAACTTGCTAAGCAGCCTCCGAGGCACCCAAGACCCATCTATCAGAACGTAGACCAGAACGGTCTGGACATATAACACTAAAACATCTCTTGCCAGCAGACCTGTGACCCGAGAGAAGTCAAAAGAGAAAATGTCTTGAACTGATACTTGATTATGCATTTTCGTTGCCTTAGAAGCTCCAGCACCACCTTGTTTATAACCTCCTCCCTCAAATCTGTGACATATTTTCCTCCTTTTCTAATCCAGTAAGTTAAAAATCATTAGCTGTCCATTAACTAACCTTAAAATAGTTTTGTTTGTATTCAACATTAGCATGGCAACTACCTTCTCAAGGGCAGTTCTCCTGCAGTTTTGTTCTAGACTTCAACTCTGCTGCATGTACTGCCTTTGTATCAGGGAAGAGCTTCTTGTTGTCACATGAAAATTTTCTCAAATTTTGCTGACTGCTCAGTTTCACAAAGCTCTATATGCAGCTATCCTCTGTTACGTAGACTTCCTAAACACAGCTTAGGTAAGATTTTCCTGTGCTCCCCAATGAAATTTGATTGTAGCTGCTCTCCTTTTATGCTCTTGCTTCCAATCCACATTCTCAGGGATGAAATCTGATATAAGTGTGAAGAGGGAAAGGACAGCTGGAAGAACAGGTATGGGAAGGGGAGATGTAAGCATGTCTATGTGCTTATATGTTCAGTGAAAGATAGAATGACACCTTCTCACCTGACCCATATATTGCTGGAGGACCGGGTGGTCCTGGTGGTCCCGGTGGTCCAGGAGGTCCAATTTTTCCATAACCTGGTAAACCAGGTAGTCCAGGTAATCCAGGAGGTCCTCTGGGTCCAACAACAGAATCCCCTTTTGGTCCCTATCAATAATAAATTTTTTTTTTGAATGTATTAACTTCATTGCTTCAGGATCTTAGTCTTTGGGAACAGCATTTTCTAAAGGCGGGCCACTGAATCCCTGTTTAGATATGAGTCCATAGGTGATTTTTTTCAAGGAGCCATGGACATTAATAGAAAATGAAAAATCTTGAGTTTAGTTTAGTATATGGCCGATGCATGCACTAGTTGTCAGATCCCAGGGATTAACCAGTTTGCAAAGTGGCAGCAGATTCCAAAGCAAATGTGGTGGCAACTACCAGGAGATTAAACCACTCTGTAAACAGTAGCTAAATGTCAAAGGAGTGGTCCAGACTGACACGCACTGGAATTTTCATTTGTGTTTTTTGAATCACTAGAAAACAAGATGAATTATTGGGGCGGCCAACTTTTTTTGAAGACAACCTCCATCTCATTTGTACAGTCTATTTTGGCCTTTCTGAGGCCATAGAAGTAACCTCACAAGTGATATGCTCTCTCTTGATTTGTAATGCTATAAATAGCCTGTACCTATATTTTGACGTAGTTGTAGGCAGCTGAGTAGCTAGCATAATATTGCACAAATTTTTCATGGAAAATTAATTCAATGCACAATACTGAAATGTCTGTGCCTATGCCTAATGCAGTCTCTTTCCCTTACTAATCTAATTTTTAGCATATGAGTTTATATATAGCTCTTAGCATCATCTTGTTGTTTGTCTCTATTCAGTGCTTTCTAAGTTAAAACAATGTGTGCCCACAATTATTCCTACTATACAGCTTGTATGACTTACAATTGATCCCGGTCTTCCAGGAGGTCCAGGAGGTCCCGTCAGAAAAAAACCTCCATTTGGCTCTCCTTTTTCTCCTTTTACACCAGGGCCTCCATTGTCTCCTTTTTCACCCTTTGAAGAAAACACAGTTTAAAGCATTCAGCTGAGACAAGATGCACTCTGTGCAGTGGTCTTTTAAAGCTGCATGAAAGTCCTCAGCTTAAGAACAGCATCTTACAGAAGATGTTAAGATGTTAAGAACAGCAGCTTGCTATCTGCTTTTTGATATTCCTCCTTTCTTTAGTGAGATGGTATCTTCTATTGAACATGCAAGGACTTCTCAGGGGGAAGGTTTGAGGAAGAACATGAGGCAGAGGAAACTGCCTCTATTGCTGTTTCCTGCCTTTCCACACAGCAACTGTGTCCTGTGCTGTAGCTGAAGGCAAAGAGAGTGTAAGTCGGAGGAAGCATAAAAACCAGACTTTTTGCTTTTCCTTCACAGCACGGAGGAAGCAAAGCAAGACTGACATGAATTTGACAGACATGGACAGGTATGGAGCAAGGTGAAGATCATCCTAGAGAGCAGCACGGGGGTGTGTATGAGAGAGGCACCACACTTTGGGCTGCTTCTCTTCTCCCTTTTCACAGATGACTATCAACTTGTTTGGGGAATAAAGTGACAAATAAGAAGAAGCCTCAAAAGAATGATTTATTATCTCCTTGTGCAAAATGAGCTGCAACAATAGTAGGTTTTGCCTTACATTACCTCTGTTTCTCAGATGTTTTTCTTCCTTCAACTTTTCTTGTCTACATTAGTACACCTTTCTAAGAAATAAACCTGTCAGCAGAAGCAGCAAAAGGCAAAGCAAGAATTCTGGATAGCTACAGAACAGGAGATGTGACTATATATAACTCTTCCCCTAACTATTTTTTCATGTTGGTTTCCCAGTAAATAGGACTATAAAGCTTTCCGTATCACATATCATTTTGGAGAGCTGAAGGACTAGACTGACAAACTCAGTTCTTTGTAGGTAAAACTTTAAAGCTGCAGAAACTGCTCTATGAGATCAAAGAAGTCACGTCATGTCTGCCATGCAAGGATGACACTCTTTCTGTCACAGGAATAACTTTTGTGCAGTCAGCCAAGAAAAACCAAAATCCGAAAACAAGATGGAATTGCAAGTCCTGCAAGGAAATGAACTGTACTCTTATAAAACAACCCTATTTTTGGTGGTATCACTAAATGATAGATTACTTTTTTTTTCAGATCTTTTATTGTTTGAGAGCAAACCCAGCTTTTTTCAGTTAAAACATTAATATTGATATTTCATTGATACTCAAGTTCTGTCACTTAGAACAGTCAGGAGAATAATGGAATAGAGAGAGACCAGACACATCAAGGCAGAGAGGCTTTCTTAGCATAAAGTAATAAACTATTAAACTATTAAAGTATCTTTGTATATTTACTGACATCTACACTCTCTATACTTCTAATAAACTTGTTAACCCAGTTGAAGTTTGGAAAATTAAAACAAATTTTACAAAACAAATTAAAATACAAAATATAATTGCTGATACAGATATCTCTTTTTTTTTATGTTTCACTCTACTGTAGAGTTTTCTGCTTAGTGTATAGTAAAACTTACTTTAAGAAAAGCTTAAAAGAGCTCAACACAAATGGGATGTAATTACCTTTATGCTATTAATAAAGTGGCTGAAATATGATGGAGGCAGAGGTGGACCTGAAAAATGAACAAAAATTATTTTAGTAGAATAATTATCTGTAATTTCTGTCTTAAAAGCACTGCTTTGGATATTACTGTTTTCGGAGTTTGAAGGAAAATGATTTACAATAATAACATTAACCTTTATATCTAACAGATATTTTTAGTTCAGTTTCCTAATGAAACAAGGCTTAAATGTTCTATCTTGTCTGTCACTCCTCCACCTTAATTCACTTTCAACCTGTTTGTGAATTTTAGTAAAATTTGAAAGCTAGGAAGTATCAAAGAGGAGAAGTTCCTAGTTTTTCAGAAAGTGGTAGCTGGATAGAGAGTGAAAGAAAAGCCTCCAAATTAACCCCTTTGATGGAAACTGAGATAAAAGAAAACCATTCCATCTGCTTTGGCACTAGAAGGGTAGCCAAGCAGTACCTGTGCAATTCTGAATTAACTGCAGTTTTGCTATTCCCTTTCTAGACTAAAGAAAGAACCAGGGCTACTGCCATTCTTCTGATGCTAGAATAACTTTTCATTGCTTTTCTGCAGTAAAAAACAGTACCAGCATTGGTGTTTATGGCAGTCTGATAACAGTGGTTAAAAAACCTTCAAATATTCTTAGTTTTCCATACCCTTAGGGAAAAAAAAAAAAAAAAAAAAAAAAAAAAAAAAAAAAAGGATCTCAGAGCTGCTTACAACAGCCAAGTGTGTTTCCTTCAAATGTGTGCCAATTAGCTTTGAGGATGATGTCTCCAGTGGCAAGTTTAGTCCAGTTTTCTTCTTCTTGTGGGAGTGGATAATGACCAGAATAAAATTTATTAAGACAAGAAAATAGCTTTTATGGGAACAAACAGGTCCTTTCAGAGAGAGCAAATATTATTAACAAAACTATGAGTTTGGAGCAAAGACAGAAATGCCCATGTAGATATACGGTTTTAAATTTATTGTAAACACTTAGGAGGACAAAGATTATAAAGATGGTATAGGAATATGAATTTCATATACTGCTCCTTCTGTTTTGAAGATTACTGTCATTGGGAAAAGCCTTATATCAATATCTGAGTTTTCAAAAACTACATTAGAAAGGAAAATTGTGTGAATTTTAATAGCAATCTTTTCAAACATGCTTTTTAGAATAAATATTTTTAAAAATATCAAAGATAGCCACATGTATCAACTTTTGATTGTTGCAGAAAAGCAAATGCCTCGTGAATAGCTTCTATTACGATGCTCCTAGCACTAGTAATCTATTTGGTCCACATATACTTCTTATAAATATGAAAAATAAAGCCTGGAATATTAAAAAGTTGGTTGAAGTGGACTTCTGAAGATTATCTAGTCCAAACTCCTGCCCAGAGTGGGACTACCATGGGATATTTCTGAAATATCATATTGAGAATACCTGGTGGTCCTGGAGCCCCTGTTTCTCCTTTTTCTCCTTTTATGTTTGCTGAACTGTGCGTTCCCCAGGAATTTCCACTTCCTTTCGCATCTGACATACAAACATGACAGGGAAGTAAAATTCATGAAAATTTGCACACGACAAAGACACCTATGATGACAACCAAACTCAAATGAAAATGACAGCCAGTATTTCACGTTTGACTCCACAACACACATGATTTGCTCACTCTCCCCATGAAGATCAAATGTCTGTCCACCTGTGTTCTCTCTTCAGCCCATGGTTTGTGTTTCTTTACCAGCCACATCTGCAACAAGGTCTCTTGCAAGCCAATCTTTCATTCTCCTTTCTTTAGCCATCCAACCTAGCGTCTTCTGAGCAAAGCAAAAAGATAATGTGTGCTCTCTTGTTGATAATATTTGTCAGTTCTTAGGTCAGTTCTTTTGCTTTTGATACCACATCCTCTAGTATCTCCAGGCTCAGACACAAGCCAGTAAATGATAACTGCAACTGTGAATGCCCAAAACTGTGGTGTTTTATTGCTCCTTTAAGTCATAAATATACTGACAATGAAAAAGATGTTCTCTGAGAACAGAAACACTTTTGGCATAATTTTTCTTCTATATAACCTGAGGGTAGAACTCTACCTGAATAAATCTGGATAAATCTTCTATTTTTTTTCCAGGTATTGCTCAGTTTTCATAGTAACTTTGTCCTATAAAATATCTAGGTAAAATGTTTTATTAGATTTCTTAGGTCTAATTTATTTCATCTAGTACAACTCCGCACAAGCAGGGTTGCCTAAAGCCCGTTGCACGGGATTGCATCCAGATGGGTTTCGAATATCTCCAGAGACATTCTGACACAGCAATATTTTATAGCTACTTACTTCAGGTAGAAATGACCAAGTGTAAGATGAGCTGGTCCTATTCTGAGCAATATGCAGGAAGGGTTTTGAAGTATAATCACAAGGACAATGAGAGGACACATCTCCTGAAGTAATTTTAGCAGCTCTCTGCCGATAGGAGTGACAGCCCCGGTTGTGACCTATGCTGGGAGTTGGTAGACTGTTAACAGTCTACCTCTACTCTAACCTGTTCTCATTGCAGGTGTGAATTTCAGCAGGGTAAGCACAGAAACAATTTCTGGCTTGCTGGGGTGCAAGTTCACCAAGTCCATGACCTGGTGTTGCTTTTCCACTGGAAGCTTTTTTGATGTGCATCCCCAGTAAACACTTCATTGGTAAGGAAGTGTTTCTATTAACTTTGGCAGCTTTCTGTAGCAGTCTTCCATGTTTATTCTCTCTGACTATTGAACATTTTTAGGGACAAAAATATTAACAGCATTTTTCCTGCTTCTAGTTTTGCAGAAGTGCTACAAATATAGGAGTTAAAAAGAACTTCATTTTCAGAGTCCTGTGTTACAACAGAAGTTTGAAGAAGTTTCTTCTCTCTGCACTCTTTCTTCAACAGATCTCATCTTCCTTGTGAATGAAGGAATGTGGAACATTTCTTCTGTATCTTCAGAAAATTCCAAGTCCATCCCAGAACACCATGCAGGTGGTTTGTTCTTCTCTGGGGTTCTGTCAGTCAGTATGTGTTAATCCTGCCTGTGATCATTTACTTTTGAGCAACAGGATGGGAGCTCCAATCACAAGCTAAATTTCTGGCATCAGTCAGTCAGAGAAGGGAAGTTTATTTCTGATGCCATGAATCAAACATCTGAAGGATGAGACCACTTTGTTGGCTGATGTGATGTAATGTCAGTAGACCTTAGAACTTGCCTCTGAAGAGCACTGCCAGGGCAGAGAAGTAAAGATTCAATGCAGTGTGTGGCACCTACTCCTCAGGTGCTTGTTCTCAGACCACTTGTCAGCTCTGACAGAAAACTCCTAACATTAGAAATGAGGAACTTGTGTTACTCTACTAAACGTATGCATCAGCCTTAGAAATTCAGACCCAAGTTCATTGGTTCTTTGACTTCCATGCTGAGACTGCAGCAAGACATGATGTGACAGAGCAAAAGGACCAACAGAAGTGACCAATAAAAGAGACACCAGCTATGATTTTCTCACAAAATCAGTCACATCTTATCTAAGAGAAAGCAATGCTCTTTCTTCACAAAAAGAAGATTATTGAAAGCAAGTTTCAAGACAAAGAAATATTCACCTTGGACATTAAGAGCTTCTTGATTTCCTGGGTAAGGAGGGTTCACCTGCAGACAAAGAGAAATTAATAAAAATTATTCATACACATTTTCTGACTCAAGTGCATAGTGGAAAGAATGTAACATTTGCATGCTATCACAGTAAATATTGTAACAAAGTTGTGATTTTCTCCAGATTGATGAGGTCCAAATATTAGCTGACAAAGCATTTTGCAGTATTATGCTCTCCTCAGCATGCAACATGCTTTCAGCAAGAGGGTAATAACATGCATTTTTGAAGCATTAGCAAATCCTGTTCATGCTAGTGAAACATCTGAAAATTCAGCTTATTCTCCAAGAACGATTCTGAATTTATGCCACTGCATTTGAAAGCAGGATTTGAATTTTGTTTGTAAGATAACAGACTGCTTGTAATTTTTTCATCAGATCATAATTATGCCTACTGTCTGATGATCTTATGCTCCATATGCATTGGGATCAAAACTGGGAGGCAGAAACTATTCTATTCTAATTCCATTCTACTGTACTGACTCCATTCTCCTGTAATGATGGGCATGCTACTTACCTCCACTCTCTGTCTTCAAAATATGGGTGGTGCAGGAGTTAAAATGTGTCAGAGTGCTCTGAAATGGACAGATCTTAGAACTAACTAATACTATTCACATAAACAGAAGCAAGCACACTAAAAAAAAAAGACATCATACAGCTACTGTCTGACTAACTCTACAGTATTAGCTCTTAGAAGTCTTTACTCACATGGGTAGCTCCATTAACTTCAGAGGTTCAGTTCGCATGAGGAAAACGTGTAGGGTTCAGTCTGTAGTTCTTTAGGGATATTCATTTATGTAGGCATGTACAGTAGACTTCTGATCTATAAACTTGGATAGGTTTATGAAATTATTTATAAAAGTAGGACAAACTCATCTTGATTTTACCATCTTGAAAGGGAAACTTTTTTGTTATCTGAAATTCAGTTAAAAATCAGTTGAATCATTTCACAGAGAAGTTGGAAGGGAAGACTGGAGGTCATCTAGCCCATCCTTCTGCTTAAAGCAGGTTGTTCAGGGCCTTGTGCTGCTTGCTTTCAAAGCTCTGACCAGGTGAAGTTGACTAATCCAGAGGAACTTTTTTTTTGTGGGAGGGGAAAAATCATATAAGATTATATAAGGTACTAGAAAGATTACTAGGAAGATTCAAGGGATATTCAAAGAGTTGGGAAGACAATGCCTGAAAGGTGTAGGCCAAAACTGTGGAAACGAATTATTATAGGGTGGAAAAGTAGAGCAGCTGTGCTGCACATGACACTATGCAGGGAAGGGCTGTGGCTCTCAAAGACAGAATGCTTCCCAAATGCCTCACCCGTGGCTTAACACTACAGTATTGCTGTAGGGCAAGTTCTATCAAGACAAAACACTATTCACAGTTCATTGTAGTATGTAATTTTTGTGCTACGTTAAACAAAACTGCAGGTCTTTTGAAGGCAATGGGGGCTTTGTCATTCCCTTTGGAGAGCGAGGGCAGAACTTCATCTGCTGGCCTTCATGAGATAATAAAGGTTTATGTATAGTTCTGAAGCATTTGAGGCTCAAATAAGGAAAAGAGACTTTATCATTCAATGTTATGAGAAATAGATAAGAAGTCTTATGTCCCTTTAGATAGGGAAATTGAAAACAGCCAAAGACATAACTGCATGGAGATGTTATTTATAAATAAACATGAAAAACCTGTGTACATGTAAGCATAAGCATTCAGTTCCCAAGATCATATCTTACGCTATAGAAACATGAGGCTTGGAAAGGCGTTAAAGAGTTAGGGCAACCAAATAATTAAAACACTTTATGCAAATGGTTCCAATGCTTGTAATTTTGTCACATGTTTTGTATGTGGCTCATTTCTGAATATCTAAGCACTTGTAAATCTGTTATCTTGAAGGTGGTAAAATACATCTCATAACTGGTGCAAAGCAGAAGGCAGGGAGGGGGAAAGCTGCATAGCTGCTGTGGTTATGTGTATAGCTACTGTGTTATATATTGTCATGGCCATGCATTTTGCTAAGAGCAGATTGTGTGTGACTTACTGGCATTTTGCAATGAGGTCTGGGAGAGATTGGGAAAACTGTCTATTGAAAATAGCAAGGGAAATGAATTTAGTGAACATAGACAATAATACAGTAATGCAGCAAGTAGATCTAAAAGAAATGTCAGGATGAGGCCTGGAGGCCAGAGTCAGCATCACGAATAGTGACTTCCATTTACTGATAGAGAATTCTCCTGTTTCCATCAGCAGGACCCAGTCTGCATGTGTGGGGCAAAACTCTTACACCACAGTGGCTCAGTTAAAAAGATTTTTCCCCATACACACAAGTAAGGCAAACTGCTGTAAACTGTATCGTTTGAAACAACTTTTGAGGATTCATTTTGCAAACCATTTCAAGAGAAGCATATTTCTGCTTATTTCTGCTACAGTGAGAGACCAGCAGCTAAGTCCCAGTCATACTTACTCCTTTGATATAAACTATCCGTCCTGGAGGCCCAGGGGGTCCTGGAGGTCCAGGCAAGCCAGGGGGGCCCTGGTAAGAGAAAGTTGAATAAGGAAGATATTAGACAGATCCTTTCACATGCAATTCAGTTAAACCTAGGACAAGAAGGACAAGGGGTCCAGAGGGCTCAATTTAATCAAGTTTTATATTATATGGCTTGAGGGAAAGCTGAGCTTACGAGACTAACCTAAGCTGCAAGGTGAATTTCCATATTTAACCTGAAGCACTATATGAGAAACAAAGTTTTCTAGGATTGTTATGTCAGGAAAAAAAAACACCCTAATCCTATGTTTCACACTTTGGGGACTGTTTGCTGTGGTTTATTTTGTTTTGCTTTGTTTTGTTTTTTGAGCAAAAATCAGTAAAACTAGAAGACTCAAACAACAGAAATCATTTACAAAATGTGTTCTATTGAAATATAGTGAGGTTGACTTGATAATCTTTCCTCTTATCTATCTGATCCTTTTTCTTATGATTTCTAATGATAATACAGTAAAAGTATGTTGGCTTTTTTCAGCCTCTTTTTGATGCAGATAAAATATTATTGGCTACTGCTGTGGTGTAGGTACTACTTTTTCTAGCACACATTTCCCCACGACATCAGACTAGCCGCACAAATTACTCTGCCAAGTAAAAAATATGCTATTCTTAAACTTATTGCTTATGCTAAGCAGTGCTTATTGTCAAGAGGTCCACTCTCACGGTTTGCCATGAGATTATTTGTATGAATGCTATTCATAAGAATGGTAAACTCTTGGTTTACCACTTTTCATTCCACAATTACAGGATGTAGGTGTGCGTGTAAGTTTTATCTTCTTTCAGGGACAAGAAAGTAGTTATTATTCTGGCTACAACACTACAGCTAAAGCAGGTAGTTGGTATGGACAGTTATCTTCTTGTTACCAGAGTAAATGACTCTTCATTGAAGATACACTGAAGTGCTCTTGGTACCTATGCTGGAGGTTAGCATGTGAGTATAAGCTCCTATGAGGTCTTGTACTGACAACTTGCACAAAGAACTCTGAGATAAATGGAAAGAAAAATGCAACCTCAGATCCTGTGCCTATTTGAACTTATGATGACAATGAATCATATAACTTTCACACCTGGGATGTGACATGACTATGTATTCCTGTAAGAGCTGTCCAGAAGGACCCAGACTTTGACTTTCCAATGACTGTTATTAAAAAGGAAAAATAACAGAAGCATATAATCATTTCTAGATCTTCTTGGCTCTTTTAATCCTGACATCATTTTCAAGGGATTCATATACACTGGATTTGATTTAGGATTTTAACATGTTTTTCAATTAATTTGCAATATATAAGAAGAACTCACATGTAACGCTTCGCCTCGTTCACCTTTCACTCCTCTCATTCCATTCAGTCCTGGGCGGCCCTGAAATAGGTAGAAATAGTTTAGCATGCCTACAGAAGCAGCTGATCTAACTTTATTCCCCTTTAGAGAGCTTAATACATACTGGGCGTCCTGGGAAACCAAGTTCTCCTTTGGGTCCAGCAGGTCCTACTGGTCCCTGGACAGAAAAGAAAGTGTGATGATGGAGAAGAAGAATAAAATAAAATAAATTTTAAATAGAACAAAATTGTGACATATGTTTGATTATTTAGAAAGGATACCATAGTCACAGCCACACTTTCAGTCTGTGATATTCTACAGACAACACACAAAATGTGCTCTCTACTCGTATTTCCAAGGGATCTTAGAAACTGAGGTATGCATACAAAAGTGAACTTGGAAGAAGATTGGTCCTCTGAAAGAAGTATGAATTCTCAGCCATTTATGGGGTGTAAAATTCAAAACTGAGCTGCCAGGCATCAAAGTATAAAGGAAAGCTAAATGAATTAACCAACAGAAAAATGGAAATCTCTCGTAGATATATAAAGGATGCTTTATATATTTGCTCTTCTGTTTTACATTTTTTTTCTAAATATTTTTGTGTCAGAGCCTGTGAGAAAATGCCTGTACACCAATCTAAGACTTTGCAGATCACCGAATGACCACATACTTCCTGCCATCTTTGGTACAAGGATTTACCGTGCTACTAGTTGAAGCGGAGATGATTCTTCTTTACACAAGGATAACCTATTTGCCAATATTAACTGATAAAAGAGACCACAAAAAGAAGGGGCAAGCAGGTCCCTTAGGAAAAGCAGTCCAGGATGATGGGTGCTCCACAGTTTGGTATTTACAAGCATGTTATCTTTAAACAGCCAGAAAGTGAGTGGGTTTACAAAGCAGTAAACCAGAGGAAAACCACAAGATTTCGTCCTGCTGCCAGCTTCCCAAGGCTCAACAAAACCACCAGAGTCTAAGCAGTCTCTTTATAAATGCGTCAACCTTTCTGGTTTCATTTTCGTTATTTTTCAGCCTGGTGAAATGCTGAGGGATACCTCCCACTTGGCATTATCGGTGTTCTGTTTTTTAGCTTCAGCAGTGATTGATAGTCACAGTCATGTTTAGGACTATGGATAGAAGACAAAAGGTGAAGACTTCATGTGTGGGGGGGGTTGCATAAAATCTGAAAATGATACTTCAAATACCTAAAACAATTGCAGGTTTAATAGTCTGTTTACAGATCTCATGTACATGCCTCTCATAGGCGAGAATTTATATGTTGAATCCTGAGAAATTACTGTGCTTTCAGTGCATTTACTGTAAGAAAGCTACTATTGATACCTGCAATATGGTGGTTAATGCAGATCTATCCTGACAGAAGAAAGACTGGGAATTGCACCACCTACAACAATTCAGGTATGTCACTTTACGTCACCAACTTTTGTTGGCATCATAACTACTACTTCAAAGGATGACTAGCAAATACTTGAAAAACAAGAGGAACTCCTCATTTTGTCAGTCACTTCACTAATTAGGAATGTAGAGACTGAGAAGGAATAGAAGATGAAAAAAAGGAAGGAGTGAAAGAAATCAAATCAGAAGTAAGGAGGTGAAAAGAGACTGTGAGGAAAGACAAAAAGAACTGAAGAAAAGAAAACTAATGATCTGCAAAATCTGACAAGGATCCATGAAAATGGTCTAGATACATAAATCATTTCTGCTATTTCTCTACTTAGCTCCAAGACCAGAATTCCTTATTTCCCTCATTTGTCTGCCTACTTAGGCATATCAACAGCAGTATTGAGAACAGTGTTGATATAATTTCTGACTATTTTTGCTCCTTTCATTTTGCTTCACCTAGCTGAAGTACATATTTTGGTTGAGAAGCTACAACCGCCCTCACACAGTGCTGACAGCAGAGTCTTTTCAAAGAGCGCTCTGCATGGTTGCACTGAAGCCTTGGGGCCCATCTGGCAAGGACCAGAAGAACTGCTTGGTTCCCAGCTATGAACAGTGCACAGCATGAAGCTGAACTTAGAGTCACTTTGCTTTTTCCTATTTCTAATAGAATCACTACCGAGAGGTCACAGGGCAGCATTACAGCTCAGCCAACCAGCGTTCTGTAGAAATACTGTGCAGTAAACCCCCTAAAACACCTCATGCTCAAAGTCTGTGACAGCAAGAAGAGGAGCTTTTCATGTGTTGTTCCTACTGCGGAACAAGGGAATGAGCACCCACTCCCTCTGACCTGTCTTTCCATGATTTAAGGATACAGGGGATGTGGGTTGCTTCAGAGGAAGATGCAGATAGGGTCAAACTAGATTAGTGTCCCTAGTTAGTATACTAAAAATCAATACCTATACATTTTGGGGTTATCTACCCATAGATTTCAGTATGTTTTGCAAAATTAAGAATATTGCCTTCACTCTACACTTGAGGGAAGAGAAGCCTGATTTGCATGAGGCAACTCAGCAAGCCTGTGACAGAACTGAGTCATCTTATTCAGAGTCCAATGCTGTAGTCCTGGCATCAGGGCATATAGGAAGTGTGGATAAGTTAAGAGCTAAAAAGATCCCAAGGAATATTTCGTGTGCTTAGAATTTTGCATCTCATCTGATAACAGAATCTTGATGAAAGAATAACCTCTAGATTTAAATACCAGTGTCTCACCAATCCATTTTCTGAATTAAGTCATTGCCAAACTGATGGAGTTATCATTTACATTTAAATCTTTTTGTCTCAAGCTGGTGTTTATGTAATATTATTTAATTGAAAAATGATCTACATTCATGGAAAATATATTGGAAGATTTATGCATCAAACTGAAGTTGATACTCTAGTACTTTGCAATTAGCAGCTGCCATTAACAAAAAAAAAAAAACCAAAAAAAAAACCAAACAAAGCAAGATGCATTTCAGAATGAATTAAAGGAGAAGTAAAATTAAAGATTATATAACCTCAAATTGAATATTGTTCAACAGCACTTCCATGTATATTTTTATCATGTCAAAAATGATGACTGCATTAAATATGAAATTCAGGAATGGAATCTGAGGATCTCAGGAATCCGAGGCTTAGCAACCAAGATGATAAGAATGAGGCTTTTTGCTTATTCATTTAAATAAAGAGAAACCTCTTGTGCTGTGCTGAAGCCACACTCCCTGTTTCCTGCGTCAAGACTGCAGCCCTCTTCTGACAAATGTTTCCCAAAATTTTGGAAACTAGTCTCTGAACTCATTCTGTCTCTCATGGCACAAAGGAACAATGAGAGTTTCCAGTTATCTCAGAGCCGATCTAGGGCTAGGGCTTTAAAGTGGAAAAGAACCACTGACATCCTAACTATGGCATTTTATATTCCCGGGCCCTGATCAAGCATGCTGCAGTATACACATTATTGTTGCACAAGATACCCACCAATGGCAAAGGGGGTTTTACTATTGGGCAATACTAAAATGAATCATCACTATCAGCAGCATTGATCAAACTGAGTAATTACGGACTAAGAACATCAAGATTTGTGTTTTCCTGTGTGACCAAGGAGACTGAGTGATAGACAACACAAAATTTTGATCAGACTTTGTGCCCTTTATCATGGAAAGATCTAGATTTAAAGTTGAGGTGAAATAACTAGGAAAAAAAATCCTAGACTCAGCTATTTACTCCTAAGTTTGTCAATGTTATCAGGGCTGAAGACACAGCAAAATTTTATGTAATCTCATGTCTCAGGTCCTGCCTAGCAGTGAGAACAAAAGCAGCTGCCCTGAGATCTCTGCTCTCTTTTCTGAACATGAAGGATGAAAACAGCATTTCACAATCCCCTCACAGTACTATGAGTAGATACCTGGAAGTCTCAATCAAGACTTCTTTGGCAAATAGATTCTTTTTGGCTTTTAGGTTTTTGGGGAAAATTACATTCTAGGTGATATACAGACTGTTTCACTACTGCAAAGATAAGAAGAGGCCCAGTGCTCTTAGTATCACTTAAATACTCACAAAACCAGCCTTAGCACCATCCTAGGGTCCTCTGAACATGAACTCTTGAAACTACTGACATCCATTGCCTCAATGTCAGCTGTTTTTACTGAAATGGCAGTGGCCTGTAATCTTTTATAGTCTTAAGCTTTTGGAGATCGTTCATTACATTTTTCTGACTTAGGCAGTCCACCCACTTCTGTTTATTATGACAGCTTCCTTAACGTGCAAATGCTCATGTGCTTTCACTAGTGTGAAAAACAGATTGAATTGAACTTGAATTGCAGTTGGACAGTTCAGCACAACAGTCTGAGCAGGAAGAGGAACTGACAGAACAAAGTCTTAAGACAGGTTATGAGTGCCAAATTCCCCTGCAGCATTATCACTGAATGCACTGCTGTCAAGGACTTCCTTTAAATCACCTTGTCTATACGCTCAACTATATTAAGCTGCATTTCAGACAGTAGAAGACAGCAGTTAGAGTCCCCCTCTATCAGTTTGTAAGTCGTGTAAGATCATAACTTTCAAGATATTTCACTGTTGACCTAAAAAAAGATATATTTGTATGACCTGAATTTAAATCCCCAGTCAATTAGTAATTTACAGTACCACATATATACCAACCACATTTTTTTCTAAAGGACATTGACTGTCCTTAAACATGAGTATTACTTAAGCACAAATACTTCACTTCTGTTCAGAAGTAAAGACAAGCTAAGACTCTCTTGCATTTGGTAATATCTGTATAACCAAACCAAACGGAAAAACAATCCACTCAGCTTCAGACAGTTTTCTCTTACCATTGGTCCCGCCTGTCCTACTGCTCCAGCTTCTCCCTGTTAGAGATAAACACACAGATGACAGAGGGAATCTATGCAAAATCTAGCAGAGGTTGCTGGCAACATGGTGGCCAAGGAACACAAAGCAGTGTTAGCTCACCTTCTGTCCTTTTCTTCCTAATAATTCAGTTAAAGATCCATCAGCAGCAACGAGAGCTCCTGGTTCTCCCTTTTCACCCTGCAATTATCAAAGTATTTTACAGCTGTCAGTGAAGCAGCAAATGTTGAAGCAGCAATGCTGCTGTTCAAAGTGTGACAGATTAGTCAGATAAAACCACTATAATGTGAAATTGGTATGCAGCTTCACTCTTCTTCTTGTGGTTATTTATCCTTAGCATAATCTGGTGTTCTCACCTCGTAATCAGCCTGAGGCACATCATGTCACTGGTGTGTTTAATGTAATGACCGCACAGTTTTGCATTGTTGCCAGTAGGGACTTCACTGGTATTAAGGTTGAGCTTGATGATTTTACACACTTGGTAAAACAACAGGAATCCTTGTGCCAAAACAGGGCTGGCATTTCTGGGCTGGGATGTTTCTTCCTAAGCACCGAAGCTGATGTTCATCTACAATCTCATTTCAAACTGCAATTAACCATTCCCAAACCTGTATTACTTGTGAGAAAGTGACGTCAACTACTTACAAACATACACACAAAAAAGAGGAAAGTGATTTGTTTCTCTTATCACCAAGACTGTAATAATTTGTCCTTCTTTCCTGCCTCCTTCAGCGGGAGGAGAAGGGGAAAAGAATGAAACAACAATTGTGCTATTTACAAAACAGAATTAGTCGTATCTTGGCAGTGCTATGGTGTAAACCTGATAGCGTAGAAAGAAGAGAAAGAATCTGGAGGAAAGAGTTCCCCAGGTCTTACACTTTCTTTGGGAACAGAAACACTGCAATATGCTTCTGTAGGCAAAGCCCTTTGCGCTAAGGCAGGAGGAGGAAAAGATCATCCCTATATATTTGGCCTTTCAGTTAGGATCCCAGGCTGTCAGCACAGATGATCAGCTTGCAAGAAAAGGTCACCTCATGTTTAATGTTTATGCAGACTTATTCCGATAAGTGCACACTGCATTGCAGAATTTCCATACTGGGACCGAACGCCAGCTCTCAGCAAGATACCAAGGTATTTTGTTTAGTGCACTTTCAACTTTGATTTAGAAAAATTTTCACATAAATTTATTAACAGCCTAGTCCCTATCAAAATCAAAACTATAAAACTCGCAATGACACCAAATATTTGTTGGCAGTTTACACTTTTCCCTACTCATTTTCTCTTACCCGTTGTCCTTTAGGTCCTTGAAGTCCAGGTAAGCCAGTATCTCCTTTTGGTCCCCGAGGGCCCTAAGTAAAAATAATTACATAAATAAACCTGTGGTGCGATCTACCTGAGAATATAGAGCTGGGCCATTTAAATAGATCTAATTTTAAATAGGTGGAATGTTAAATTTTGAACTTTAAATCATTGTGATTGTAATCTAAATAAATTTTAAAACTAGATTGCTGTGTTTATTACCTAAATCAAACATTGATTGGGAGAATCTGTTAAAAACAACAAAATGAATGCCCTGGTGTTTTTCACCAATGTAGAAGATTCACACATTCATGGATGCAAAAATGCAAACATTAGCAAAAGTGGAAATTCAGCCTAAAATTCTGTTATTTCCTCCCTCCTGTATTCTCTCTCACTTCATTCAGCCGGACTGAATTTCAGAATTTCTGAAAGTACAGTTTTAAGGAACTGTTATTTTTTTGTTTTCTCTAAAACATAGATTTTATGTATGGAAAGAAAAAAAAGATTTTTTTTTTTATCTTATGTGAAGAAAACATTTGGCTCAGGTCAGAATTTCACTCATCGAGAATCAAATTCAAGTTTACATGATTTCTACATTAGCCAAGAGGTAGAGAAAGAGCTGAGGTAAGAACAAGAATGGTACTTTTTTATCTGTAGAAATTCTTTCAATGACAGAGAGTATAAATTCATTGAATCACTTTCTCAATCTTACAAACTCATTTTTAACTAAAACTATTTTGCTTACTTTTTTTTTTTTTTGTTTGGTTTCCAGTGCAGTCTACAATAAGCAGGACTCAGTAAACAACCTTCTGTAGAACTTCAGGCAATTTGCCAGCATTTTGTCAACATCATTTATCAGCTTTCCCAGCTTTTTTCTGAGTTAGGCAATAGAGAAAGGATCCTGAGATCTTGTGCCTACATCTAAACAGCAGTAAGGTCTTAACATTGAGTTCATTTTTATCACAGCCATAATATGCTATTGACTGTATAAACACCCTATGTTCTCCCATATGACAGTTTATCAGATTTTGTATTAATTCTATACTACATAAATGTTAAAATATTAAGTACATTCAAGAATATGTATTTTAATCCCAGGAACATAATACTTACAGGAAATCCTGGTAGACCTGGCTTGCCATCTGGCCCCTGAAAAATGTACAAACCCCCATACAAACACAAATTACGGATTTGAAAAACAGAGTGGAATTTACATGTACCTCCTAAGCGGTGAATATTAACTGATTTATTATATTAACTGGAAGAATTTCTTTCGGCTAGTGGTAGCTTGAAAACTATCCACAGTGCCCTGATACATTTTTTGGTTTGTTTTATTTTTTTCTGGGACTTCTCAAACTTAAGGGACAGGAAAAGCAGAAGAAAGGTGACATTTTCCGCATATCAAACACATATAATTTCCATCATAACTCAGTCTTTGAGTCTTTTCTAGTGTCCATCACAGGGAACAGAGTAGTCCTCTCGACCTTGGCCACTGAGCTACTGGCTCTCTGTGGATGACAAAATTCTATCCACTAGATTGTGTGTAGAACATTTCACTATGTTGGCTATGTAGAGTCACTTCTGTTAGAAGATGCACACATTCTGGTCTTCCTTGTTTCAACAAGAAGTGAAGATGAGGAGGAGAACTGGGCTTACTTTTTGAGTTTACCTAGCATATAAATTAAGCATGAAAGTAGATAAAACACACAAACAAAACTCTGCAAATGGAACTGTTTGTGAAGCATGATGCTTAGCTTTAGGGAGTAAAATTTTGCAAAGGAAAATATATTTTTTTTTATCCGGCCACTTACACTATAAGTTTGCTTAGACTAGATAGCAAAAAGAAGATAAGTTTCTCTGTGGACCTATCCCTAGGAATTTGAAACCAGTACCAAGAAACATCCAGAATTTCAGATATTTGACTGAACTGTGACAAAATCCTGTCTGCAAAGCAGAGCTTGAAATTTCACACCTGTGGTTCTCCCATGAAATTTTCAGCTTTACATACCCAACTCTGATTGCTGTGAGACAAAACTCATACTCTGGAGCTTTGCATTCTTAATCATAGATTTAATAGAAGTCTTTTATATATATATATATATATACATATACACACACACACACACACATATATAATAAAACATTTCATGACTTGAAAAACAAGAGAAAAAATGGAAGGAAAATGCAACATAAATCTGTGTCCCTATTTTGGCATCAGTTCCATTTCTGTCATTTGGAACATATAGTTCAGATCCAGAGCCAAGTCAATCTCCTCAGCTGTTTTCTTCAATACAATTAATTCATACAAGATGAATACAATTCATTACTCATATAAGATTCATTTCTGCTGTTTTGCACTTCTGCACAGCTTCTTGCAAGTTAGTGGGAGCTACACACACATATCTGAGGCATATTAACTGGTACTGGTTGATGGTACCGAATGGTACTCAGAAGGAGAAACTGAAGACAGAGCAAGTCTGAACATTTAATAAAGCAGCATATACTCACTGGGGGCCCAACCAATCCTTTAATTGCAGTCGAATTAAAAATTCCATCTGTATCATTCAGTAGTAGCTAGAAAGATAGATAAGGAACAGATTATTTCAAGTGTTAAATCAGTTATTTGGAGTAGACATACATTTCTGGAAATGCACACACAACTAAAACATCCTGTTTTGTACCTATGGGTAGAAGAAATATGAATGAGGCAACAAAGAATGGTCTCTATAATTGATTTTGCTATGCAACTGGTGCTTGTGTTACATTTTGAATGTAAAGGTCTCTTGAGCACTTTAAAACTTTCATGAACTCAGTCTCACAAAACACTAGCCAGACAGGTCCCTCTGAATAGCAGCCCTATCCTCCAGAACATTGACCACGCCTCAAATTTGGTGACTGCAGATTTGTTTAGAGCGCTCTCCATCACATCATCCAGGTTGTTAATGAAGACATTTAACAGACATTTCTGGTTTAAGTAGGTTTAAGTACTCATCCATTATAATTAAGGATGATATATGTCTCATATTGATGTTGTAAGTGAAAAGAGATACTTACTCCATTTTTTTCTAGTTGTTCATTTCATCTCTTACACCCAACAGTTTCCTTTATTGTGTGTTAATCTAACCTTCTTTTGGATTCAGAAATACTGACTCCCCATAAAGCTTTGAACTAATCCACTTGTTTGGCAGATAAGTCACTCTATCCATTTCAGCTTTAGGTTTGCTGTACAGCAGTGCATTCCCATTAAGCAAAAAGAAAATGTCTCCAGGGTTTCTCTGTAGGTGCCAGGGGGTTCCATGAAGTACATGAATAAGCATGTTGTCACTAGGGGATTGTGAAATCTGCCTATCTCCTCTGCATCTAAGTAAATCCCGATCAATGCCATCAGATCATGACCCTTTGTAACACCTCTTAGGAATGCAGGTATTAACTTTGGAGCTATCCCTTTTTTGAGCACGAGACTTGACCAAACGATCCCCAAGGTGCCTTCTAATGTTAAGCACCTGAATAGCAGTTTTCTAATCTGGAATGTGAGGAAGGACACAACAGAGGACAGACTGGATCGGTCACATCTAGTCTTACTCACGGCATCTCAAGTATGGCAGCTTGTGGTCAGCTTTCTTATTTTGAGGTTCTGTGGGCTTCATGATTTACGTAGATGAAAGTTGTTACCCTTCAGTCTGTGCTGCTACCTACTCCCTGTCCTCACATGCTACAGATGACTCTATAAAACTATCACTGAAACAATCAGAAAACAGTCTAAGTTCTACTATCACCACTTGAGCACCTAGCCTGCATGAGCTCTCCAATGAATTGCTCCTGGGTAGCAAATACCTCCAGTTCCACTACATTCCAGGCCCTACGTGTCCCAGGGAGGGAGCAGGATGTGAGCTACTGCTTTAATGACAGTAGTAGCAGAATCCTGCTGCTGCCATTGTTCTGCTTTATCTATAGCTGGTGGCAGAATTCCAGCAGCCCTGCGCTTAAACAGTCTTTTCTGTATGGAATTACTCAGTACTCATTCTGTCTGGGCTCAACCCAAACTGTCCTGAAGTCAGTGGAAAGAATCCCAAAGATTTTGTTGCACTTGAGACCAAGCACTTCTTATATCTTATAACTAGAGTTTAGCTGCAAATAGAAACTGTGACTGAGAGTCAGTAAAGCTTATTGAGTTACATTGTGCTGAAAAATACATGAAAATGTATGGTACAAACCCTATGTTTTGGGGAAAAAAAAGATCATTTGGAAAAAAAGGCCTTTTCAGCCTGCTCCAGGTATGTAGTTATTTACCTCCCATTTTGGATGTGTAAACAGCTTTGATAGCAACAGTGCAGAAGTGTAACTTTTCAACACTGCACATCAGAAAGTGTTGACTACACAGTAAAGACAACTCTTTCCATCTTTTCTTCACTGTCATAGAGATGAAGAAACAATTATTTTCTAGTATGACTTGTCTACATGGATTCTAAGCACACTTTCATCCTCCTATGAAAGGAGCACAAATATTCCACTATTATAAATACAGAAAGAACGCAGGTAGATTAGTCTTTCTTCAGGACTTCCATTTACTTCTTGTACTTAAACTACAAATGAAAAATGGCAACCAGAAATATATATTTTTTAGTTTACTTTTAATAAAGTCACTTTATTTCTATACAGTGCTCAACTACTGTGATGTGGTAAAAGCCCAGAAGCAATTGATGTGGTTTACACTTTCATCTATTGCATACATGAAAATGCTCAAAATATGAGAATTGAGTTCTCATATTATATTTCTCAAAATATGAGGTTGGGCTACAATAAAGCATCCTATGTGGATATCCATAATGGATAGGTTTTGAAGCATATGAGGACAGGTAGCATTTGCTGTAACCCTGCGCAATACCTATGTGCAACAAATGTACACAAAGCCAAACAATCATCTTCAAAAAGTTCACCTTACTTCATAAAAGAGCCTACTTCTTAAGCTCTAAGGTAGTTAGAGAAGGATGCATTCTGGTTAGTAATGCAGATGTAGTGGAGAACATCCGACTATAGAATCATAGTATCACAGTTTTACACCACATCTCTGCCACTTGGCCGCCTTTTCCCCTCAAGATTATTGAGAAAATTGCCAGAAACTCCAACAGAAACATTGCAAGAGCTAGTAACAGTCTCACTTTGAGCAAGCGTTTGAACTAAATGAACTTCAAAAGTTCTTTCCAGGCAATATTTCTGTGATTCTGTACCTCTGTTCATCCAAGACCTTAGAGCCACATTTCTGATGACATTTGCACATGACAAAGTAAGAAGAAACCAAACAAACTCCTTTGGGACTATTACATGATCTATGGGATGTCAAGTTGTGCTTTATTTGCTATTACATGTGGAAGCCTAAGTAGAAGCCTTTTATCAACAGAAAATGTAATGTACAAGTCAGCTTTCCTGTAATGTCTGTGTCCAACCACAGAAATGTAGATTTCTCTGGTAGCCTGGTATTTTCAGTCTTTGTAATCAGAAGTAATTTCTGACTATAGTTATGTGCAGTATTATGAGGAATCTGCCTGGCTAGGAATCCCCAGCTCTCAAACATAAAGAGATTGTCATATCAGGATCTCATATTAAGACAACTACCTAAGATTTTTGTTGTCAGTTTGAAATGAGTGCTAACTAGTACTGCTTTTGGAAAGGCTCATGTATATAAATCTGTGCACATATATGTGCAGCAAAGGACATAGTTTGTATGAACACTGAGCATTTTACCCTTTGATGCTTCTAGTTATTGCTTCCACAGCAAAGGCTGTGGCTCTTTGTAGAGTGTAAAGTGGATATCCATCAGAGAGTACAAGGGGCTGCATCTCCCTCCTATATACTGGTGCACTTCAGATGCCTTGTTTTGTTCCCAGTTTTGTATTTCTTAGCTGATTTTTATTTAACTTTCACAACTCCTGCAGAATCAAGTGTAGAGTTCAAGAGAAGCTCTCAATATCACTCCACGATTCTATTAAGTTCTTTACCCATTTTCCTTCCTACTTCATCTTCTCAAGATGTATCTGTTTGATTTAGAGACATATTGAGATATTTTATTTTGAGGAGTGGATTTATAACCTGAATATCAACACTAGAATTTCCAAATTACCATTTAGCTAACTGCTTGTATCATCTTCATTTCAAGCTAAGTTATAAGACCTTTGATTCTCAACAACCATACGTACCTCAGGTATACCTATGATTGGTCCTGGTGGTCCAGGTGGTCCAGGTGGACCCACTATACTAGTCCCATCCTGTCCTGGTTCACCCTATTTCAAGAGCATTACAGATAGAAAGCACATTTAATAAACAATACATTTCAAGTAGGTTTCTCAACAAGAATGAAATCCATGCAATCTCACCTGAGGTCCTGGGTCACCCTTCTCCCCTTTTGGGCCCTACGTATGAAAATAAAAACAAATTTAACTGATTTAAAAAGAAAACATTAGAAAATAGATTCTCTAATTTTACAAAATGTAGTAAGCACTAGCACGGATCCTCTCCATCAAACTACAGAAAGTTTCACCTGATTTCATCTCATATACTCTGAGGATCTGAAGTTTGAAAATGGTGCTACTACCTTTGACAGAGCTCATGAATGACAAGGAGCAGAAAAACAACACTTCACTAGTAAGAGTTTAACTCAGCAAACTCCTTCACAGAATCATCGAATCATTATGGTTGGAAAATACCTTCAAGATCATCAAGTCCAACCAGAAGCCCTTCAACACCATAGCTGTTAAATCATGCCCCTAAGTGCCCCATCTACACATTTCTTGAACACTATAAGGGATGGTAACTCCATCACTTCCCTGGGCAGTCTGTCCCAATGCTTGGCCACTTTTCCTATATAGAAATTTTTCCTAATATGTAACCTGAACCTCCCTTAGCACACCTTAAGGCAGTTCACTGAAATCAGCTATCCCTGGCTGCTGCTTCCTGCATTGGTATTAACCACCCTAATTGTGTCTGGGATTGCTCAGTGGGCTAGGGAAGAGGCAGAAGGGAGGGAAGGAGCAGCAGGATGTTCTGGCTAAAGGTCCCTGGGATTCCTGCTCAGGAGAAATACATTAAAATCAAGCTTGTTGGCTTGCCTCTAATTAAAATCAGAGTTTATTTCTAAATAATTAAAAACAAAAGGAGCTCTGAAAAGTTTGTACCACCCTTGGGGATGTAGGCAGCACTCTTTGCTAGTGAGGCATGCAGGGAAGACTCTTCTCCTATATCCTGAGCCTCAGATAACTGCTCCAAGTTAAGTAGGACAAACCCAGGCTCAGCTCTCCACAGAGTAAAAACAGGTGCTGTGAGTATTGCAGATAATCCTTGAGACATGAGTTTGAGAGCCAGTCTGTTAGATGATCACAGACTAAAACAGCACAACTCACCACTGCTCCAGGACGCCCAGCGATGCCAGGAAAACCTGGTCTTCCATTTGTACCTGGCATTCCCTACCAAAACAGAAATACTATTATTCAATTGAAATTGTGCTCACAGAATCACAAAATGGTTAAGGTTGGAAGGGACCTCTAGAGATCATCTAGTCCAGCCCCCTGCTCCAGCAGGGACACCCAGAGCACAGGGCACAGGGCTCCTGGGTGGTTTTGAACCTCCAGAGAAGGAGACTCCACAACCTCCCTGGGCAGCCTGTGCCAGGGCTCTCTCATGCTCACAGGAAAGAAGTTCCTCCTCACATGCAGTGTTTAGTCTCATATAAGCAGGACTACACCACTCTGGGAGGGACACAGGATGCAAGAAGTAGAGAGCATCATATCAAAAAAGGTGTAGAAGAGTTAATTCACAGTGTAGCTAAACTGATTGAACACCTTGCCACAAGATGCCACTAAAAGTTTTGCATGAGCTCCATGGCAGACATCAAGTTCATGCCAAAGGCACCTATGGATATTTCTAATACAGAAACCATCTCTGTCTGAGGAGTTCCCTATGTCACAAAATGAAAGACTGTGAGGGTAACTCAAGGCAATCATAATGTAAAATTTGCCCTTTTCTAGGATCATATTGTATCTAAGCATCTGCTTTTGGTCACTGATAGAGATAGAAAATTAAACTTGATGGATCTGACCCAATAAAACGACTGGGAATTCTCTAATACTCTGCAGTAGTAGAACAGAGCTTTAAAGCATAAGTCAAATGGCCTTTTCTGCTGCATTTTTGGTGTGATGGAAGAAATTCAAATTAAGCATTCCTAAGACTCAAAATCTTTTCTTTTGCCTCACTACAAAATCACCAGCATAAAAATGTGTCTCTCATTGAGAACAGATTTCCTCTATTATGCCTATTTTTTTATGTAATCAGCAAAACATGTGGCTCAGCAATAAATATGCAGTTTATTAAGATAAAATGTAATTTTAGAAACCTTCTAATTTTCACTTTACAGACAATTGAAGCATAAAAGTTACCTCTGAAAGCTAAGAGGATCTAGGTACCGGAGTGACTTGTAAAATGAATTTCAGTTTCTTCAGTGCTTCTATCTATTATTAGGTTTAGGACTGTCATTAGTTTTTCTATCTGAGGATTAAAGAGCTAGATTATATTTTTAGAAAAAATACTACAGTCACACCACTCACAATATCTGCAAGCTTTTCAAATGTGTCTGTCACATGAATAGTAATAATTACTCAAACACCGACCACAGAACAAAGCAGTTGCAGAAATAATAACTCAAGTAAGAAACTAATATATAAACTCAGATTATTTTAAAAAAAGGTTTTAAAACAATTGTACAATGCATAAATGCATCAGATTAACATGCTGACAGTTATCTCTGTGAAATGGTAAAATTCAAAATATGTATAGCAGATGGAATTTATGGGAAGCAGAGTCCTGTTGTATTGTTGTTGTTGTGTTTGTTTTTTTAATAAACAAGCAGATGCTGTTAGAAGGGTATAATAATACTCTCGTAAATATTCAGCATGCAGAAGGGTCAATTCATAGTAGCTTGTCTCACAGAGCAAATTTTGATTTCAGTGCTGCCTCACATTATTTTTTATTTTATTTTATTTTATTTTATTTTATTTTATTTTATTTTATTTTATTTTATTTTATTTTATTTTATTTTATTTTATTTTATTTTATTTTTAATTAATCTTATTTTACCCTAGCACCACCCTCTGCTGGCTTATTTCTCCTCCAGGCACCCAAGTCACTCAGTGAGAGCAAAAGCCATATGAACTTATGTAGCAGCTTTGGCTTTGCGTCCAGGAGGAGCCCAGTTCAGGCTATATAGGGATGCTGATGGGGAAGAATGGAGAGGAAGGCCCTGGCTTCAGCACTAACCCGGTGTTAACCAGGATAAATACCCTGCTTTCCACCCTGAAGAGATTTCATGGTTAGCAGCTATGCTGATTCAGAGCAGCAGGTTGAACTTCCACTCAACACAGGCACGGTTGGCATTGGAAGGAGTTAGACAACTAGGACAAACTACAGATTTAAAGATACATGGATGGACATCTGTCTTTCCTAGCAGGATAATGAGGCTCCAGTACCAGACACCCGGAATGCTTGTGGAGCTGCCTTGGAGGTGCTTACGACTACTGAGCAATGAAGCATTGCTGACCTTATCTAGTGCTGGTGACCTCATACTTCAAGTGTGATACTGGATTAGATGACCATAAGAGGGTCCTTCCAACACCTAACCCTGTGCCTCCCGTATGGTTGTGCATGGGGCAGGTAGCCACTTGTGGGCAGGTTCTAGCACACAAATAGGCCACCACAGTAACCTGTGTGCTGAGCACCACATGGGGGTCACGAAGGGCTTCTACGTCCTCTGCATGGCACTGCATGTATCTGCTCTTGTATCACAAAGGTTGTAATGGGGGAATGCCTGGGAACGGAGTGCCAGGTATACACCAGGAGAATGAGGATGAAGAGGCACATGGAACTTTTATGTTTTTTATATAAAACTTGTCGATTTTCCTCTCAATTTTGCAGAAAATGGCCTCAAAACAGCATGGTATTACACATCTGAGCAACTGGGTTTTAAAGGCAATTTTAACTGCATTTTAAACAGAAGTTTAAGCAATGCGTTACACTGGCTGTTGATAATCACAGTTCATCTTAGAAGTGTTTTTCTTTTTTTCTAGAGAAATCTCTCTGGACTTTAATATTCTCACAGTGGTAGAAATGTTCATTATCACCTGAGTGCATAAAAGGAAGGAAGGAAATTAAGAGGAGGAAAGAACTTATTGAATTTTAGATCAAGTTAAATGAATTTCCCACCTTTGAACCTGGCAGGCCAATGTAACCTACTTCACCCTGAAACAGAGACACAGTAGAATTTAAGTATTAAAGTGAACTGTAATTACACATATTCTAAACATGTTACTTTCCATGAAAATAAAAGAACCGAATGGGCAAAATGACTGGTCAAAAGTATAGTATTTTTTCTGTAGAGTCAGGCTTTTGGATTTGGTTCTGAGAGGCTTAACCTCCAGTTGCCACCAACATCTTCTAGTCACTATGCATTACTTTTGCTGAGTTTGTACTAAGCCATATGCCTGAACCTTCTCTTTCCCTGGCTGAAATCTGCATATGGATGCACACCTGTTCCCAAGATCTTCCAAAACCACAGTGATCGTTACTTCACAAGTCACTCACTGTTTTCCTTCAAAAAAGGTAAATAAGTTCTTTCTGAACTTCCACATCCTCCTCCCCTACCAAGGCAGTGTATTACAACGTGAACAACGTGTTGAATACTGCACCTCTATAGCTGTGGTACCGGTTCTGCAGTGCTCTAGCTCTTAGTGGGCAGAATTTCTTGATTTCCTTACAGACAACAAATACGTAATTTACCCCATTTCAGCGGAGATAAAGAATATAAACAGTAATAAGGAGTTAGGATCATTGCATAAAATGTTACAATTTTACTTGTTGAAAAGCCTTTCTTGGTTTTGTCTTTCAGGAATGTTTATATTCATGAATGCAGGAAGACTGTCTATTATGTATTTTCTAAGAAAAAAAGCTTTCCATAATAACGAATGTGAAAGCAGATTTTGGATCTGTATTTATTGGTTAGGAAATAGGTTGAACTTTGGTTGCAACAAGCTTGCTCTGACAACTCTACTAGTCTGGGATGTTTGAAGGATGAAGGTTATATGAAACATAATTTAATTGTACCTTAAACTATAAACATGTGATGCATGAGCTCTTGCTTTTTGAAAGTGGGTGGCTGTTGTATTTTGCCACTGTTGCCTAGCGAAGTCAATTATAACCAGGAAAAGTGGGTGTAAAATTCGCCCCCATGACAATGATAATGTATTACAGCCACTTTATAATAATTTTGCTGTAGAGTACCTAGCTGTGTAAGATGTCAGGCAACAGACAATCATTTCATTTCTGTGTCTCCATGATTTGAGAGATGGATGACTCAAGATTTGTCAACCAAAAACTAAGCTGTTGTGAAGTCTCTTGGTCAAAGGTTGATGATAGCTTTTTTTTCAGGCCCATTCCAATCGCTAAATCCCAAATACTGACTCCTTTCTAAAGTCTTTGTGGAAAAAAAAACCCACATTTAAAAAACAGTCTTTCTACTTAGGGGAAGATAGTAAGTTTTTTACAAGAAATGTATTTTTAGTGCAAAGACCGCCCTTGCTCATCTTCTCCAGCATTAAAAGAAGGAGCTACCTAGCACCAGATCTTTTTGTGAAAGACCCTAGAAATCAAGTGTTTTCCAGATATCTAATTGCTACTCTTGAAAGGAGAAGAGTTGGAGCTTTCTCTTTCAATTGCACACATTGGAAGACACAACGATGTTGTATAAATGACAGAGAAACTGCCAAATTCCCCCCAAAATGAAATGAATGTACCATGAGTGAGGCAGATCCCTTGGAACAGCTCCCTGGTGTTCAGGTGGAAGTGTGAAATAATTCTGTTCATACCCTATCCAGTAATGTATGGCAATAATCAATTGCATTACAGCAATCTAAAATACCATTTCATACTTCATGTGAAAGAGAACAAAATTTGCCCTATACTTGGTTAATATATATATGTTAACCAAAAAGGCAAATGTTGGGAATAAGGAAATCAAAAATTTATGCTAAGGGATGATATGAGAGCTTTCAAGTGCTCTTTGTTACATAGGGCACCTTTGGTACAAATGGTCCATGCTGTCCATGTATCTGCAGAACCCTGTAAAATCACAGTGAATCTACTGGTTACAGAATTTCATATGTTTTTGTTTTATAAAAGAAAAACAAAATGAAACCCACAACAGTTACAAACATAAGGTTCGCAACCTGTAGTATGCAGTAAAAATTGTTGTTCTAATAGTGACTTGCTCTTTATTATCATGCAAAGATCTGAAGATTTTGCTCTTAGAAAAATAGCTTTAATTCCAATATATTATTAAAATAGCTAATGTCATGACAAGATTAAAGCAAAACATGTAAGTGCTTTTGTTGCAAGGGGTTACTTTCAAGGGTTTGCTGTTTTTTTTATTTTTTTTTTGTCATCTTGGTGAGAATGAAGATAAGCTATTGGTTTGGAGGCAACACTGCATTTTCTTTCCAGGTTTAAAACTATCTTGAACCAAAGATTGAGGATTGCAAACTATTCTCTTATCTCCATGGGGTGATGCCAAAGATGCAGGCCAATTACTACTCTCATGTCAAGATGAACTGTACCATTTTAGATCATTTTAGAAAGCAGAATGGAAAAGAAAATTCAACAAAGTCATCAAGTCATCTTCATCTTGAATATGAAGATGAAACACTGATAAACCAATACCAACAAAATATATGCAAAACACCTGTTTCATCACTGATCTTTGGGAGAAATATCATAGAAATCATGGAAATTATGATTATATATATATATACACACACATATGATTTTTATGTAGGAAGCTGAGCCAACAGAAAAATACATGATGAGCACTTTTTCATCAAAGATTGAAATAAAGTTTTATCCATCAAATCCTAATGCTTTATTTATATCACTATTAATTACAAAAAACAGTAATCAAAGCTGTTATTATGCATTTTTTGAGGAAACTGCAATCTCATTATAAAAATTAAACAGATGCAAATATAGCACAAATAACTGTAGTTGATTTCCTAGCAGCTGCCTTTAATTACAACCCTCTTAGAAGTAGATTCTTAGTTTTCACTATAGCACAATCAGGAGCTTTTAGAGTTTTCACAGTGTCTACGTGGTACCCTTTTCACGTAGTACCAATAAGTATCTAAAATCATTTTTGTGATTAGAGGCAAGTTCTTCTGCATCTTTAGTAACCCAAACATTGGGGAGTAACAGTGATAACAGGAAAACAAACTTTGCTCAGCTGCTGGATGGAATTTTTTGGTATTTATAGCAGAGTAACTTGGAAACAATGCCTCCCATAAAAGCAAACCTGAGTTAAGGCTATCACGTAGACAGGTTAGAAAGGTCAACTTTCGACTTGTTTTTAGACCTCTTGTTATATTTTTTATTGTGAATATTTCTCCCAGTGAGTATATTTCTCGTGACATCTACCTGGAACCTGTCATGCTGCAGTTTGTGACAATTGCCCCTTGCTGTAACTTCTGGTGCTACTAGGAACAGTTTCTCTTCATCATCTTTGGAGAACAGAATGCGCATGTGGCCTTTGGTTTGGTTTTAAAGTTGTCCACAGTACAAAAATCTCCTGAGAGAAGGTGATGGAAGAAAAAATATCCATTCTCCCAGGAAATTGTTTCCATATAAGTGTGAAAAACTTGAAGTCTAAATGATGTTTCAGAATATGAACATTTAATGGTCAAACTCTAACTACTCACTTCAGTTACCACAGAATCACAGAATGTTCAAGGTTGGAAGGGACCTCGAGAAATCATCTAGTCCAACCTTCCTGCTCCAGCAGGGACACCCAGAGCACAGGGCACAGTCTTTAAATCAATAGTACCACACTAATTCCTGGGTTACTTTCATGTCATGCAAATTCATTACTTCTAAGTGGGAAAAAGCTGGAAAGATTTGATTTTATATTTGAGGGAAATGCTTGTTATTTTTACTGGTGAAATGTTTATGAAACAGTACAACCTACTGAGCTGTCAAAGCCACCGAGAAAGAAAATATCAATCAGATTTGGTTTTCCCCATCTGCTAGGTTTCATTTTCCTTTTTATTTTCAATAGTGAGGGCTAGAGTTTTCAATATAAGTAAAAAGGCACTGCACAGTGTCCACCCATGGCGAATCAGTCACAGCTTGCCCTGTATTAGGAAGCATAAACATAAAATATTAACTGACATAGTGTAGCCTTTGTAATACAAAAGATGATGTTATATTGTTATTATAGATGTCCAGTTTCTCTTAGAGTCTTCCTGAAATCTTGACATGGTTCATACTCTAAGGCAGCGATCTCCCCAGTTTAATTAATCTTGATACAGCTTATTTTTTTCCTTTCTCTGTATGTGTAGACTCTCTAAATTCTATCAGCTTTGATGTTCAATTATGAAAACAATACAAAATATCCCAAATCTTATGGTTTCTTTTTTATTATTCTCTATATAAGAATTCCAATCTGTTCAATAACTAGACAGAATTCACACTACAACTCCAGTCCTTTATGTGTACTTACTAAAATGACTCCTATTTCACCTGTGGTATTCTGAAAAGTGAACAGATTCATTTGTGTGTGGGTTTACTTACATTTAATTATCAGTATTACAATGTTTTAGATCTTAGTTTCTATTTTTTTTCTATAAATTGAAAAACAATTGAAAGAAGAAATAAGGAATTCTGTAGGGGATAAAAACAACTGAGAACAAGACCATACAAGGAAACTTAATTTCATCCTATAATCTTTGAAAAACATACCAGAGCAGAAAGGTCCAAAAGATATCAGAAAAATGACATTTAGCTTCTTTGGAGGACATGCTTACTGCAAAGTGATTCTATAGCAACTGACTCCCATGCAGTGAAGCCACTCCAGATCTACTGCTGACTGGGAATATAGGTTTCCAAAACGCAGAGGAAGACTTTTTGTTTTTGAAAACAGAACTAAAAAGATTCTTCTCTCCCCCAACACCCTCTTACCTTTGGCCCTCTTGTTCCAGGAGTTTTGGATTCACTTAACACAGCAATACTCCCTGATCCTTCCATGTCCTATTGAAAGGAAAAATAGTTAGTTACACCAAATACGTTGATCCTTTATAAAGTGTAAGAACTTTCGGTCTTTAGAGACTTTTCACTTTGACAGCATTTTTCTGGTACTTCAGGTTGGAGGGCATCAGATTACAAGTGACAGCATGTCACATTTTTAAAAGAGCACCATATTTAAGTATACTGTAGTAGTATTTTTCTGTTAATCCGTCTTTAACAACTTGTTACTGAATTACTGTGATGACTATTAATGCTTACCTAACTGTTTTAAGTCAGGGTAGGCATATAGAAAATTTAAGACCAGCAATCATCATTCAAAGATAAAGGTCCTTCCTAATCCTCATGGCTGAATGCTGAACTCTTGCCTAGAGTGCAGCAGGCTGAAACAACTATGAGCTGAAAGAACTGCTCTATCACAAAATCATGGAATTAGTTAGGCTGGAAGGGAAACTCAGCAGGCCATCTAGTCCCACCTCCTGCCCATAGCAGGGTCAACACTGACTTAAAATCTGGTTTCTCATGGCATTGTCCAGTTGAGTCTTGGAAAGCACCAAGAAAGGAGTTCTGCATATTTGCAAGGCATCTGCTCTTGAGCTTGACCTGCTTTCATCACTCTGTGCACCACTGTAAAGATCTTGGCTGTGTCTTCATGTTTACCTGCTTTTAGGTATTAGAAGGTTGCTTCAGAATAAGGGAACCATAGGTTTTGTATTTCTGCTCCCTGACCATCATGGCGACCATCTGCTCACCTAAAAAAGATCTCTCTGACATAGACCTCTCTTTCCTTTTGATGGAAATATTCATATATTCTATGGAGATTTTCTAGGAGTTTTGGAGGAGACAAAATAGAAAGTGTCATCCTGCATCTAGCTCTACTTGTTCTGACTTATTCTGACGTTAGTGCAGCCATGAGATGGAAGTTCCAAAAGAGCCAAAATAATAAAGCTTCAGACTGTCATAACTCACTCTTTTATCCTCATCCCCCTCTCCAGTCACACGTGGTTGTGCTATGCCTATTCCAGGGCTTGACAGACTGTGCTGTAAGCCATTTTGATGAACTATGCCAGCAGGAAATGATTTACTTGTTTTCAGCTGCAGTTTTAAATGACTTAATGGCTTGCTTCTGCAGAAAAGGGAAAATCTTCTATCTTTACTCCTCTCTCCTGCTCACAGCATAGAGTCTCCATTTTCATGATCTCTGCCACAGGTTGAATCCCCTAATTTTCCTGTGAACGACTTTAATCCACTAAAATGGCAGAAAATTAGCATTTTTTTCAGACTGGGGAAAGTTTTCCATCATTTTAATATGTTAAATTGCCTCCTGGAAGGGTCGATGGGACACTGGCCACTAGCATGTGGGAATGACCAACAAACACCATGAATGGCTGCAGATGGAAGGAGGAACAGGGGGAGGAAAGTCAAATCTTCACCTCCAAGTGAAGAGAGTTGTTGTTTCATCTCACCACTATTAGAAGACTCTTTGCATATTGAGTTTTCTGCTTCATTATCTTGAAATGGTTCATATCACCAAGGCTGATATACGCCACGAAAAGTGTACGGAAAAGGTTTGGAAGAGCAATTAGATCAAGTTACTCTGCTGTGGAATGACAGTCTAATGCTGAAGGTATGGAAGAGATCAAATGATCCCGTGAAAACTGGATCCCAGTCTCATTCTTCCTCCCCCACCAACCCCATAACAACAAGTGAAAGGGAAGCAGCAATGCAGAGTTGGGATCAGGATCTCACTTTTGGAGTCTAGGGTGGGGGCAACTAAATTTCATGGGAGAATGATTGTTGCTCAGTCTTTTGTTTAATTCCTCTATGGATTTTTAGCAGGTCAAATACCAACAGAAGATCTATTGAGATTGTATGCTTCGTCTGTTCCATTATACACTGATTTAGGGTAAAATGCGAGATGCATTTCTAGGTCCTTCATTCTCATTGTGCTTTAATTGGTCTGTCCCTGCCAACAGTTTTCCTTAAAGAGAGTGTTTGGTGCCTGCTTTGCACAACATACCGTCGTTTTTGACATCTGCATGTTTTTAATAGGTTTACCAGGTACCTTCTGCAACTCAAACTGTTCTTTTGGCAAGCACAAGTGCCAGGATATGCAGTCTCTTTCTTTTCCCAAAGCCACTTAGTTTTTGCACATAGCTGATCGCAGATGCTAGCAAGTGCTAACAGGATTTTTTTTTTTTTTTTCAGAGACAGCTTTGCAGCAATAAACAGACTGCCAACCAAAAGGTAGTGTAGCCCTAACGAACTGGCAGACCACAGAGCTGCCTTAACAGATGGCAAGGGTTTGCATCCAAAAGTTCAGTGAAAACTAGCAAGTCTTTTAACAGGATGATTTCTCTCAAGGAAATGACAACCATGCCCCTGCTGCTTGGACAGGATGAAGATCAGATGAACCTTGTTGGTGGTGAAATTAGAGCTGTATTCTTGTCCATTGAAGAGGGAACTCACATTTTTTTCATCTCCTTCTCTCCTGATAACTTTATTTTCTGAGTCTTAGGCATCAGAAATGGCAGAGTTTTGACCTAAATACCTAATTTCAGGGATTTTCTTTGTAAATGTAATAAGGCAAATGTGCCTTCTCTTCAAATAGTGTGAATGGGGTGGGATGGAGCAAGACTTGGGTCTGCAAGGATCACAGCAGATGAATATGGAGCAGAAAAACAATCACGGCTTTAACTCATACCAGGCCTAGGATAAAGATGAGCCCTTGCAGCGATTCTGCCCCCATTTTGAGCCAAGTAGGTTCTGATGCAGGGGAGGCTGTGTACCTTACAACTTCTACAGCAGGTGTAAGTTATTGCAATGGACTTGTACACTTAAAAATGTTTGCATACTTAAATTTGATGCCATTCCTTCCTAACAATTGTAGTGGTGGAAACTAAGAGCGTGTGAGGTTCGTTTTTTTTTTTTTATTCTGCTGATAAGCCTGACTATACTGACTATGTAGTTCTATGTAATGCCAAATTTCATAAGTGAAATAAGCTAAACTTATGGCTTCACAAATGCCAGGAAAGTAGGCATTTAATTAGTACCTGCAATTCAAATGTAATTAATACTGGCAGGTGTCAGCATATATTTAGATTTTTGGTCTTAATTATTTACATGAAAAAAAGAAATTATTTAAAAGGAGCTTTTCCTTGTAGTGTAGTAGTTGCTTTGAACTTTTCATTTTAGCAAATGATATGAGTATCAATAATGGCACCTGAAACCTGGTATTGCTGAAGAGTTTTATGAAAATTGCTTGAGGAATTCCATCACTTGCATGGTCTAAACATGGCCAAATATATGGCCACTTGCCCCTGGGCATCGTAATGGTAGGTTATTCACAGAAAAATTTTAGTCTGGAACAAATTAATCTGTGATCAGTATCTGTGGTTGTTATGAGATACATGTATGATTGTACTGCCCATTCTCTGAAGGAAATAGATCCATAGTCACAACAGATCCTATAACAGAAAAATACCTCAAATCCCAAACCGTAGCTTGGACCTGGGGGTCCAGGAGGTCCAGGAGGTCCAGGAGGTCCAGGTGGTCCAGGTTTCCCTGGAGGCCCATCAGCTCCTGCTTGTCCTTTGGGACCTATTGATCCAGTTATTCCAGTTTCACCCTAAAGCAAAACATCAGTCTGTCATTAAACTGGACATGCAAAAGCAGATGTAAATCTGTGTTTGATGAACTGAGAAGTCAGGTTTGCTACTTCATTACTTTGCACAGTGATAATCTTCTAGACTTTTCAGCCCTCTCCAGTGTTAAATTCTGTGACATGCTATATCTGAGTGATACTGCTATCCCACTATCCTGAATATCGTTGTTTTTTTTTTTTTTTCTTTACCTTTGGACCAACAGAACCAAGAAGACCTCGATCGCCCTGTAAAAGAAAATCAAACCTAATTACTTACACTAAGAACATTAGGCAACAAAGTCATAATATTTTTTTCTAAATTAAAATATCTATAGAATACTAGATCTCTTCATTAAAAAGAAACTTTTTTTTATTATTCAGGAATTATATAATAAGAAATACCTCTGGTCTGGTATGCAGACAGAAAGCAATCTCGTATTTCAATTATTGCTGCAAATTTGAACTATCTATAGCACATAGAACTAAGTATTGTGTGTCACATCTTCACGCTTCTGAACTTATATGAAAAAGTCCCCATGGGCTATGAGCAAAATAAATAATCTCTAAATAGTAGTAATACTATAATAACAATTTCTTTCCAAAGCAATGGCAAAAAAAGCACAAAAAGTTGCACTCCAAGGCACAAACAGATTTTACATCCCACTCTTCCATGCATTCTGGAGGTTCTTCTTGTAGTCCTCTGTGTGGTAACTGGGGGCTTGTCTACATAAAATTTAAACCACTGATAATGACAGGCACAGGTTTCAATTGCCTGCTTTTTAAGAGTGTTCAACTCTACATACTGTCATTTTATGGATAGTTACTAATTCCTGTGTATTCTGTAGCTGTGCCAACCTTGGCCTTTCAAAATCACGACTCAGATCTTTCATTATGCAAAGGCGTTGTTAAAAAATCTTGATATTTAAATATAAATAAATACATCAATATTCCTGTTATTTCTATTTTTGGAGTTGTTTCTTTATTTGCCAAATAGAATGAGAGTGTTCAATGTGCACTTGGGATTGTGCTTCCAAGTTCTTACACGTTTAAGTCTAGAAGCTTCCTAGAGAAAGAAATTCTCCTGCAGTCACTTAACTTTGGGAGGCATAAAAATAGAAATGGAGTTGGTAAGGACTTTTGAAAGCCATCTCATCCAACCTACCCTTTAAATTGGAACAATCACCAGTAATAGATCAGGTCAATCACGGCATGTCTGACCAAGTCTTGAAAGCCTCTGAGGATGAAGAGTCCAGAAGCTCTCTGGGACCTCTCAGTCCCAGTAATGCACTAACTTCCTAGTGAAGTCTGTCATCATGTCTAGCCAGAACCTGTGAAGCTACAGTTTGTGACAACTGACCCTTGCCGTAACTTCCGGTGCTACCAGGAACAGTTTATCTTCATCCTTGCAATTCCTCTTCAAAGAGTGGTAGGCAGCTAATAAGAATACCATTTGTCTCCTTTCTGCCAGACTGAACAGGTTGAGCTCTTTCAGCTTCTCCTTACAGGTCATACACTCTAGGCCCTCGACTACCTCAGTAGCTCTCTGCTGGCCTGTGTCGTCTTCTCCACATTTTTGTTGGAGTGTCAGAAAATGGTACAATAATTTTTGGAGTGTCAGAAAATGGTACAATAATTTAGGAGTATTCAAAAAGAATGTAAATATTCCAAGGCTGGATCTGCCACAAGTGCTGGAGGAGAGAGAACTTGTCCAGGGGCAGCAGCACTGCAGCAGTCAGCAGTTAGCAGGTAAGTGCATAAAATATGCTGTGTCAGCAGACCTACTCCTATATAAGCCAGGATGAAGCACAGAGAAGAGGCCACAGCATCAAGCTTGAAGTATTCCTGTAACTCTTATATACATGCACCACAGAGAGTTTTCAGTAGTGAATAATTCATAAATTTGTGCTATTCTGGACAAAGAGTGAAGGTCTCTTGTCACAGACTCACCTGTTTAAATCCAGTCATGACCAACTTTTTATTAGCAAATCATACCGAAATACCTTATACTACATTTTGAACATTGCATGCTGCAGAAAACAAGATTATACCCATCAATAGCCTAAATTGCTCAATATGCCTTTTGAGTTATGTTCTAATAAGCCATTAGAAAGTTTCTGGATTCAATTAAAAAAATACTAAGCCAACCAACACTATTTTGCAAGGACAACTATTTAGGTCTTTCAAGCCTAGAATTGTTGCTGGATTGGAGCAACATTAGTATTAAACTTACTTTTTCTCCCTTTGGTCCTGGTGGGCCAACCATTCCGTCAAGACCAGGAGGACCTTGAGGACCCTGTGAAAGATACCAAGTCTAAGTCAGGTGTCTTTCAATACCCTTTCTTCCAGAACATGCAGCTAAGTATTTTGGATCATCTAATGACATAACAATATGAAAGACTGTATTCTAACAGACAGTGACAAATTAAATTTTAATACTAGTATTTCAAGTTTTCTCAGAATTTGGCTTAGTATTTGGCTTGAAATGTATTTAAATATAAAAGAATAGCTTTTTCCATATAAAAATAAAGTAAAAAGATTATAAATCAATATCAGCAGATTTTGACAAGACTGTACTACACATGTAGCTGGACTCACAAGCAGCTCAGCCATCCGTGGCTTTGCCACTCCAATGCCAGGTGAGAGAGAGCTGAGAGCCAGTTGGCAATGTCAAAGTCAGAAAGTGGCCCCTGTTTCCATTTGATGCTTCTCTCTATTTTTCCTTTAATAATGTATATTTAGCGCTGCATTTATTTTCATTTGCTGTTTCCATGACTGAGCATATGATTGAAGTATTCTAGACACACAGGGGAAAAAAATGGATTTGTAGGGTCAACCAGTCAATGAATGCAGTTACTGGAGTCCAATCTACAGTAACTAGATATGAGAGAAAGGGAATAGTTGTATACATATTTGCATGCTTTATATTTAAAATATTTGGCTTTGTAAGCCTTTAAGTATATTTACAGATGTGCACTCTGAGAATTATTTATCTATTGACTTATTGATCTATTTTGGAGAAGTAAATAAATGGGTTTCAAAAGGACAAAGGAAAACAATCTTTTTCTCTGTTATTTTCAGAATCACCACAAAGGCATGTTTCATTGTTCAAAATTGTTCTCACTATTTTATTTTACTATTTTTGTTCTTTAGATGTGCTACACATGACAGAAAAGCTTATAGATTATTTTTATTATTAAAATAAAAGAAATATATTTTGCAGGTCTGAAACACATTTTCATACTGCATATTGTCATGATTACATAGATAGAGAACAGAGAGAAGATAGGTTGGAGAAACATCAAAAATTGTTCTATTTTTTTGTGACTCTTTCACCTAAACTGCTAAGCAATTTCATATCTCACTGCTATACAATTGCTTATTTCCTTTACATCTCTTAAACAGTCTCTCTTATGTAGATACCAAGCAACACTTGGAGAGATTTATGATTCCTTTCAGGGTGCATCCATGTGTTCGTGCATTACTTGAGGTAATTTAACATTATGTTACATTTCAAAAATATGAAAGTAATCAGATGAATATCAGATTCAACGTGGAGCAGTTAGTGAAAGTAGTATTTCACATTGCAAGAAGCAGTTTAGCAGCTTTTATTCAAGCACTTTCAGGACATGATTCTCATAAAAAGAACTGTTACATGATGAAGTCACTAATTTAGCAGGGTCTTTAAGCCCAGGCACAACTGCAGGTAAACATCTAGTCTTCTGAAATCAGGATTCACAACTGAAAAGCGTTAATTGTGCAGCTATTGTCTTATTGAATCAAAATTCTTAGCCTCAAATTGCTTCTGTGAATAAATCCCAGTGTGTGCACGGCTAAGCGTTTGTACAAATCTTTAGAGAGCAGGCTTACAGTCTCTTAGGTCATCCAACTCATGCATGGATCTGTACTGTTAATAACTGGACTTCAGCAATCTACAAATTGATCTGATTTGATCTTAATCACCATCTGCCATGATCAGATTCTTCTAAAACTTATTTTAGTAGCATAATTTACTCTTGAATTATTAGTCTCTCAGGAATTGGAATTACTCAGTGAAAGTAAGCAATGATTCCTGGTGCATCAGAAACACAAAGACTACCTATAGGTAGTCATTTTCTTTAAATACTTTTCATACCAATTAACTGCTGAAAACTCTTTTTAACAAATGTCCCAGATGATTCTCGCTACTTTACCTTCCACAGATACAGAACCTGGCAGAGTCATGATGTTAAATGTGCATTTTCAGCATAGACTGCAGTTTGACAAATATAGCAAATGAGGTATCAGGACAACAGTCAGTTTTGCTATATATGTCAAAAGACTTCCATTAAACTGCAGTCATAATAATTAGTAAAATCTGATCCATCTTAGATGCAGGTTAATAATTAAAAAAAAAAAAAGGCACATAACAACAGCTTATAACAACCTATTCCAATACAACCCACTCTTTGTTTTATGACTGACACGGGGAAATTTTCCACCTTCCAAACTTCACGAATCATTTCTGCTTAGGTCAAAAGTCTATATATATCTTAAGTTGTTGTCTCTTAATTTCTCTTCTTTCAGATATAGTCCCGGTTTATACAAGCTCTTGTTTGTGTTGCAGGCATGGAAAGCAGCTGATATAAAATTTTATCACTGTATCTAATGTACAAGATCTGAGCTGACTGACTAAATGGGCTTATTGCTTTTTTTATTTGCTTTGCACCTCTCTACTGTTCTTCTTTTCTGCTATTGATTCTAGGCATGTCTTTGTAAATTTTCAGAATCTTTATCTTAATAACAAATAATATTTCCTTGTATGGGAAATACAGGCATATTTCCCCATATGTCTTATAGTCATATGTAGACTGTTTCAGATAGTAAGAATTAAGAGACTAATTTTTATTGAAACATGATCCTCAATTTAAAAGATGTAAGAACACAGGGAAATAGCACTAGGCTGTACTGAACAAAGATCTCTACTTGTTTTCTGAGCATACTGTGGTTCTGAGATATGTGTCCAAAATAGGCACTGCCAGAAAAGGTCACTCCAGATTTTTTGACAATGTTTGATACTCTTCCAGTCGTATAAAAGACTTTGACGGGTTTAAAGTTTAAGCTGATCATTCAGCAGCAGACAAATGCAACTAGAAATGGCTTACCTTTAAATTGATTCAAATTAAATTGATTCAATGTAATCTTAATTATTTTTTTGGAAGCTCAAATGACTGCAAATGCAGGCCAGGCACTGCATTCATGTATAAAAATGCCTTTATATTCTAAAAGGTCTTTTGTTCATGCTTGAAATGAGACAATTGGCACGATTATGTGCCAATTATCTATCTAAATAACTGCAGTACTGTGGTACTTGCTCTTCTAGTGTGAAGTATTCACCGCAGTTAGTGGGAAATATTTATGACAATTAGTAACACATCTTAAGAAAGCATTTAAACAAGTCCTTTACTACTCCCCAAGAATGCTGTAATCTTGAAACATTCTTGGAGATGTACTGACATCTGGCGATGTCTCACCCAGCATCAGATGAAAGTCTCATCTTTCAACCAGCATAACAAAATGTTAATTCTTTTGGTTGGCCTGGCATATAGTAAAGGAGCTCCAAAAACTTCACCATCTTTTCAATCACTGCAGAAGACATTTGGGATAGATTGATAGACCATGTGTCCTGCAGCATGATCAAGGACACACTTGGGAGTGTGGCAACCACAAGCAGCATTGGAAAGCTGTTGTCATTTAGTCAGTCCTCCAGAGCTCTTTTCAATACCAGAGGAATTTTTAGGCCTTCATTCTATAATTAGAGAAATTAAGAACAAGAATGAATGGAAAAAGAAATGGCTTCCTGCTGCCGTAGTCTTCAGGGTGTTAATGGTTTTCTTACTAGTAGGGCAAGTGTGATTTCAGTACTCCTTGTCAACTCCTTGTCCTGTGCCCCATGTGCTCTAGCTCAGAGGTCTCCTCCCTTCTCTTCCATCATAACTGTTAAGTCTACTGGCAAAGTTCCTTTACATATGCAAAGAAGGCCTTCTTTCCTGAAATGGGTCCATAAACGGCTTGGAGGCAAAACACTGCTTTTGGGTTCTACTTTTATAGGACCAATGTATTTAACCTTAGTGACACAGGTCATTGCAATGAGAGAACCACAAATGACCCCCTCAGTCACCTGTAAAATTGTAAACCATAAGGGCATTTCTGTGAATAGCTGAAAAAAATGCTCAAAAAACATCCAAGGCATTTGAGCATACATTTTAGCAATCACTAAAACTATGGATAGTTCAGCATTATAGTAATCTATGTATTGCTACATCCTCTATACTTCATTATCACAGACTTAATTTAGACAGATCAGTAGGGATACAGTTTATTCTCAGAACAAATTTCTTGAGACACTGAAGTTCAAAACTGCTTTTCCAGCATCTCTTCAGTGGACACTTTCTTCTGGGAAAGTCCTAAAGCCCGGGTCAACAACAATTAGTGATGTTCATACCACCTTGTAGCCTGAGACTATGAGATCCAACTTCTTACAGAAAAAGACTACCTGTTGGAAAAGGGCTTGGAGGTCCTGGATGAAGGGACCTCCCTAGAGCTCCAGAGTAAAATTTCATGTACACAACACAAACTACTCTCAGTGCTTCCTTACTGGCTAATTCAGGGGTAATTATATCCTCAGCTTTTTTTTTTTTTTTTTTTCCCCCTGACTACTCATATAACTGATATTTGGATTTAATTTTTTTTCAGATATCTAATGCCTCTCTGTCAAGGCTGTTGGGGTTCAACTTGAAGACCAGACACTTAGAAGCTTGAAGTTACAGTTAGTGACCTTTTTTTTTTTCATATGTGTTTAGTATTATCCTCCCTCTTTGTTATCTGTTATAATTTGGCACAACTGAAATGAAGTAAGATGTCCTCTTTAATAGATTCACCAATTTTTGTCTGTGTTATTCTCCAGAAATATTTAAAAAAAAAATCCAAGCTCTACAATTAACAATATTCTACAATATTGTTAAGAATTTTATGAATTATTATCTTATGAATTATGAATTATTTATTAAAATCTTAATCTTTATTGATGGAACAATATTCACGTTTGTGCGCAGGCGGATACTCACTTCAGGACCTGGTTCTCCAGAAGGTCCATCTTCCCCTGGTGACCCAGGAAGTCCTACATCTGAATCCGGTGCTGGTATTCCTGGAAGGCCAGGCAATCCCGGAGGCCCTGGTGGCCCAGGAAGACCCTAGATAAATCAGTAATATTGTTAGAAAGCGGTCACTGTTAGAAAGCCCTTCAGTTGTCTTCAGCCCTTCAGCGCTTTCCTGGTCAAGTTCATTTCCTTAGCATAGATGGAACATTTGAAGCTAACAGATGCATATAACTCAGTTTGGGTCACTATATCCCTTTCATTTCATTAAGAAACAGTTCTGGTTTCACAGATACATTCTTTATGTAGGAGTCATGCCGACCTCCTCTATCCTTGCTCTCTGAATTGCATCTTGTTCCTCTTCATTACACAAGCAATGGAAGGAAATTAAAAATTGAACAATTGTCTGCTTTTCGTAAACCCAGTAAAGACCATAGAGGTTTTTCAGTGACCATCTACTGTTATTAAATTTAACCAAAATGACATCACAATATCACAGATTTCTAGATTTCCCCACTGATTTCCAAGGACTTCTCCATGCTATTGCTATAGCTTTGAGAAACTGTATTTAAGATCAGGATCTGACTGTCCTTTATGCTATAAAAATGGCCTCTGTTCCAAAGATATGTCTGCATGGCCATGAGCAGATCTATTTAAATTAATAATGAATGAAATGTATTATTTTGTGAGAAACAGTATGATTGCAAAATTCTTATCTCAAGTGCAATCCATTTTTATCACCTTCGCAGGCAAGTATCATGGATATTTTGAATTTTAGGGGCATGGGTCTGCAAGGCAAGCAACTCTCTAACTCTGTGCTAGGATTCTGCTAGGAAGACAATTATTTTGAATTTTTAATGTCAACAGACCCTTCTCTAAGCTGCTGCTCCCAGCATCTATGCTGGCTATTTCTGTCCTTTAAGTACATAGGGCATCTAAAAAGACTGGTTCTTGATTTTTTGACAAGTTAACTAGCTTTTGACACAAGATGATTCCTTTCTGAAAGGCCTTGGGAATAAGGTAGTCAGCACTTGGGCAGAAAGAAGGGACAGAAAATAAGTCTTGATACAGAATTTGCTTTGGGAGCTAAAGACCTAGTTTAGGAAAGAGGCATTCAGGGATTTCATTTCTCATGAAGTTTCATTAGCGATGAAACAGGCTGTGGTTGAAGCAGGCAAAGGCTGTATCCTGAGGACTCTATGAAACCTGCAGTTTGTCTAGAGGGATCATTAAAAGCCTTCATATTTAAATTTCTTCGTCTTCTGCCACTTGGCTTCTCATTTTCCTAATAGTTCTGCTTAACTGTAATATTTCCCCTCACCCATTATATTTCTGACTGGATCGCTGGATAGAAAACCTTGTTATTTGAAACTCATTCAGAAACTCATAGATATTTCATACTTTTGGATTTTCAATAGGAACTAGGCGAAGGTTTGGTCTGGTTGGTTGTCTACAGATAATAAAAAGCAGAAATGTCTCAAGAGCAAGACAAAACATGCAAACTACTTCCAAAGGGTATCTGGCAGCAAGTTCTAGTTACATGATTTAATTTTGGTCAGGAAAGGCAGCCTACATTGTTCTGTATAGCACAGGTACCTTGCAGTAGGTATCTGCAAGATACATATAAGGAAATATAGCCTCTCCAAAAAACAGTCCACCAAAAGCTAAGTAGAACCTTCCCACCTCCAAATATTTCCTATGCCCCTCAGCTGCTCAAAAGCAGAAACAGAAAAACAAGCCAGATGCTCGTTTTTTTAATCCAGAACCCTACTTTCATCTTCAGTGCCTTGCCAAAATCAGGTTAAAAGCATCTTTTCCTTTAGAAAAGTCCTCTTGGCATTATTTCTTTGTTTTTCTCTCCTTTCTTAAACCCTACATGCATTTAGGCCTTGTCCTAATACACAGCAATTGTGAGAAAAGGAGGGAAAAATAAACTTCTATAGGGGCTTCCTCTTTGGCTTTCTTTGCTTTCCTTCATATCATAGCTCAAATCATTTTTTCAAGTCTTGGAATGAAACCTCAACGTTTTGCGGCAAATAATTAATGAATGCTGTGAATTAAGCATATTCTTCAAAATGACATGCATTCTGAAATTATGTCAGTGTCAGTGAAAGTGGACCTTTTACAACCTGGACTAGTAAAATAAAACTCTTTACTATGGTTATTTACATGAATGAAAAATAACTATCAATATATACTTACACTTAAAATCTCCATCTCTCCATCAAGGTCTCCAGAACCTGATCCTTCAGGTTCCAGTATGCTCTGAAATTATGAGAATTAAATTTCAAAATGTTGCTTGCAAAGACAACAAAGGAAAACATCTCTTGTCAGTTAATGCAAATATCATTATGATCAGCATCCTTTCAGCAGAATGATGCCTTTGAATTTCAACTAATATTTTGTGGATCTAAAGGCAGCAAAAGCTTTTCAGTCAGATTTTTGGTGAGTTTATTGTGTAGATACTGAGCTCCATATTTACCTACAGATGCTCTACAGTGACAGAAATTCTGCAGAACCTAGGTGGCATTGTGACTGTGGAAGTGGACTGAAGACTATTTTTTCAGGTAGATTTTAGCTTTAGAAAGATACCTATCACCACTAAGGACGTTCTAAAATGCATGTCTAAAAACTAGTTTCCTTCATCCCATAGGATGTGCCCTCTAGCTCCAAAAACAATGATGACAAATAATGACATTTCTACAGCTAAGATCAGAAGAGATCTTCCGATATTTTAAGAAGGATAAATAGAGATTTTTAAAAAGGATAAATAATAAACTAAGGCATTTTCTGACATACAGTCTGTCTGTACTCATTTATAATGCAAATCCATGGACTCAAATTTCTTAGATTCTTATACTCAAGCTTAGCTTCAAACCATCTTTCTCTATTATGGAACAGATATAGAAAGATACAGAATATATAGTGTAAAGTAGAATCTTTTGAAACACTCTTAAAAAATCATTTTCATGGAAAATTTGCTATGATTGGTCTGAGTAATATAAAGGAAAGTGAAATGAAATCCAACTACCCATTTTTTTTTAAATCATAGAAGTGCTATCAATTTTTATAGAACTCATAATTTAAAAAATTAAAAGGGCTCAACCAAGATGTGCAACAAATAATTCTTGGCAGTTGAAATACTACTTTTCTACATGCATGAGTTCTAGCACATTTAAAATTAAGCAATGTCAATACATCCAAAAGGAAATTAATTACAGATGTGTCCCATTGCAAATCCCTGATGAGTCTCATAGCTGCATGTGCTTTATAAACTAGCTCAAAATGTACAGAGAGCTAGTGTCTGAATCATCTGTTATTTCAAATGCTCAAGCGTCATCAGTGCATTTCCTGGTTGCACTAACATTTCTTTCACTTCACCCCAGAGTAAAAAGGCTTTGAAGTTTACAATCACAAACAGCAAAAAAAAAAAAAGAAGAAAAAAAACTCATGCAGGGCCAGGTGCTCAGCACTGCATTTACTCAAGTGACCTTAGAGTGTGAAAAGAGGTATGGCTGGAACACCATGTCCTGGGGATCTGCAGCTGTCCTGTTTGTCTCTTGAAGTCACTGTCAGTGGAGGTCAATTTGAGCAGTTGTTTACAACAAATACAACAATTTTACAACAATTTACAGCAATTTATGAATTCATAATTCATCAGTATAGCATTGCTTTCGCTCCCTGGAACGTGCTACAGATTATGTTGTGAAATACACAGGATACTTAGTGTGACACCTGAAGATTTCCACTGCTGCCAATGGAAACCATATCTATCTGTAACAACAGTTCCAGTCACTTGAAATGTAAATCAAGCAAAGTTTTCTCTCTGGCATCATACATGTGCCTCTTCAAGGAAAAGTGGGAGAAGGAAACAGAGGAGAGATGCATCTGAAACATTTTCTTTTACATTTTCAGAATACTGAGCATGCAAAATATGAACACTGTCATCACACTGAAATGTGTGGCAGTATTTAATGACAGCAGGCATAAATGACTGTCAAACCATTTCCATGTTCAGGGTAGGGAAAGAAATGAATAATTCAGTTTTATAATATCTTTTTGATGTCGCTTGTTCTCTCATGTACTCTTGTTTTTACACAGGATATCAAGCATATTGACTTGCTTTTAAAAATGTGAATACTTGCCCCTATGCAGATCACAGTATGCACACCCTTAAGTTATTTATTTATATGTCTGTCTGAGTGTTTTAGAAAATGCGGTGATCTCCAGAAAAAACCACTACTCACAAATTCACCAGAAGAAGCAAATGGTCCTGGGGGTCCTGGTAGTCCAGGGAGTCCTGGCAATCTCTCACCAGGATCACCCTAAAACAGAATGATTATGAATCAGCAAGAGTTTGAGCATATCAACTTATTGTTCCTCCACAGGAATAAGCAGTTTATTTTATTTTTTTTTCCAGAAATAGCAACAATCTCTGTGGAGCTGTAGACACAAGAAGAAACAAAAGTGTCTGCTTATATGCTACGAATAATTGTTCATTTTTAAGACAAGCTCTTAGGAAAAATGCTATCTGCATTGACAAAAAAAAAAGGGCCCTTTTCACTTCTAACATGTCTAATGATTATATGAGTGTTCAGGCTGCATCAACACCATTAGGCAGTTATATATCTTGCCAGAACTACATTTTACTACATATCACAAGTTTTTAGCTTACATTGCATGACATAAGTAAACAATTAAATAAATAAAAAGTATGCTCACACACTGGTCACACCTTTCTTCGTGTTCTTACTCCTATCATCTGTCATATTTTTTTTCCAAAATCAACATGTAATGATTATTTTTCCATGTGTTGATCTTCATCTACTGCCAAGATAAAAGACTGTCATTTTTTCTCATAATTACTACAGTTTCTTCTTCTCTGGTAATGCTTGGTGGCAGTGCTTGCAATGCTTCTCTGGCCATGCAAGGTGAGACTACCTCTCACCTTGAGGTCTGTTCAAAATATTTCTGCTTAAGTTATTTAAGACTGAAGATGTGAATTAAGATATTTATGCATCAGAATTTCTGCTCAACTCTAACTTTACCTCAATCTACTTGAGCTGAGGTTGTGACT